CTTTTCTTTTGTGTATTTTCCGTGTCTCTGTGTCAATATTCCGGCCCTTCTTCTTTTGACACGCACGAATCTCGGTCTAGGCAATTCCTTTGTTTCATCATTAGCCTTAGCTGCAGCTCTCGGGCGGGACCGCGTGCACGTTGCCGTAGCTTGGCTTACGGAGTCGAACTTGCCCGTTTCCAGTCGCCCGTCGCAGTCCAACCGCCGCCTTCGCCATCCAGTTTTTTTCCCTCATCTCCCCCATTCGCGATCTGCACTTGTCATTCCTGCCAGTCGACGCTGACACTGCTCATCAGACTAGCTCTGTCACTTTCTTCGAGTCTGATTGGTGTCCCGTGCAGCCCCTCTCGACCTCCCAGTCTTGTCTCTTTTTTACCTTTGGTACCATCTACCTTCCCCGTCTTCGATAGCTTTTGCTGCTGCTCGCCGCCCGGTTCATCATGAGATTGGCCTCGCAGTGCCTCTTGTCCTCAAAGCGCGGTTTCTCCGCCCCTTTTGATTAACATCAGCTGGAGAGTTGAATCGTGGCCCGAGCTCAGCACGAGCCTCTTTCTTGAGAGTCATCAGTCTCGTCACCGGAGAGACGTCAGTCCTCGCCCGCCCGAATCCTGCAGGGAAGGGGAAAAGAAAAAACATTTCCTGACAGTCGCCCGCACACCGTCATCCTCAAGTTGCTCTTCTCCCTCCCACCTGTCGCCTTCGCAGACCAAATTAACCGAATACATCTTGTGCTCAGCTACACAAAATGGGGCCCCCGCGGGGCCAGTGGGCGGCCCTCGCGGCGGCAATGGCCAATCGTCTCGCCACAGTATCGAAAGCTGTGCTGGCTAAAATAATCTCGTTTTACAATCGAATTCCATTTCTGGGAAGTGTGAAGCTGAATTTCATCTCGCTCCATTATATGTACATCATTCTGTGGACAATTGCTGGATCGGTGGTTGTGTATGGTGGTAGTGGAATACCGTACATCGATGCGCTCTTCTTTGCCTCGGGTGCCGCTACTCAGAGCGGTCTGAACACCATCGACTTCAACCGCTTGCCCAGTTACTCGCAGATTTTCCTCTATATCATTTCGATGTTCACGAATCCCATCGTCATCCATTCGTTCGTCGTCTTTGTTCGCCTTTACTGGTTCGAGAAGCGATTCGAACACATTGTGCGAGATGCTCGAGCGTTGCGTCGGTCAAGGTCCAAGAGCTCTACGACGGGGAGGGATCAAGATCTGGACCGACAAGAATTGGGTGTTCGTGGACAATCTATCGTCGTTTTGCGCAACGAGGACGGGGAGGCTCGTGAGGCCATGCAGGATGTAGCCAAGCTGGACCCCGAATCCAATTCAGAAACCGGCTCGTCGACCCCGAAAAATGAGACCCGTCAAGGGCCCGAAGGTAAGGGAGCCATAGGGCCCAGGAGATTGACATCAGACTCGGACGTGTCTAGTGAGAGTCGTTTGCGATTACCTGTGCGCCTGAGCCCCGAGCATCATATTGCCTTTCTGGAGCATCAGCGGTCAGACAAAGGACGATTGCGAATCCCCAGCCCCAGGGAGTTCGATCGTGGAGGTGTGCCGGAGGCCTTGGACGAAGAGGGCGAAGACACTGCGAATGGAGAGAGTCGTCCTCCCAACGAGCGGACGGAGGACGCGGTTGACGAGAACGAGAACGAGAACGGTGGCGGTCATATCACTATCAATGAGCCCGAGATCTTGCGCTCGAGAACGCGAACTGCGACGCTTCCCAGGATCGAGTCCCGGCGTACTACCGAGCGAGATGATGATCAGCCGAATCTAATTAGACATCGGAGCCGAAAAGGCACGCTCAATGGTCTGTTTCGATCGCTCACCCAAGAGCGGGAAAAGGACACCCTGCCGTACCTGAGCTGGAATGCAACGGTTGGCCGAAATTCGACCTTCATTGCTCTGACAGAAGAGCAGCGAGAGGAGCTCGGAGGCATTGAATATCGCGCGTTGAAGACATTAGCCCTAGTCTTGGTCGCCTACTTTTTCTTCTTCCATATTCTGGGGGTTATCTGCCTGGTGCCTTGGATCATGCACACCCATTACGGGTCCATTGTGACGGCAGATGGCCAGGGACGTCCATGGTGGGGAATCTTCACGGCCCAGTCGGCCTTCAACGACGTGGGGTATACCTTGACCCCAGACTCGATGAACTCCTTCCAGGATGCCGTTTTTCCTCTTCTCCTGATGAGCTTTCTCATCGTTATTGGCAATACGGGATTTCCTTGCATGCTTCGCCTCATTATCTGGATTCTTTCAAAGATTGTAACCACCGGGACCCCGTTATGGGAGGAACTCCAATTCCTCCTCGACCACCCGCGGCGCTGCTTTACGCTCCTTTTCCCCCGCAACGCTACGTGGTGGCTGTTTGCTATCCTCGTCATTCTCAACGGCTTAGACCTGTTATTCTTCATCATTTTGGATGTATGGGCCCCTCGAATGACAACTGCTGAGCTGAACCACTGACAATCTTCTGCCAGTTGAATGATCCCACTGTCACTTCCATCCCTCCGGGCATACGGGTCTTGGATGGCCTTTTCCAAGCTGTTTCCACGAGAACGGCCGGCTTTGGCGTTGTCAATCTCTCCAATCTCCACCCGGCCATACAAGTCTCGTACTTAATCATGATGTATATTTCAGTCTTCCCTATTGCCATCTCGATGCGGCGAACCAACGTCTATGAAGAGAGAAGCCTCGGTATTTATGCCACTGTTGAAGAAGACACAGAGGACGCGAAGCCTCCTAGCTATATTGGGACACATTTGCGGCGACAGCTGAGTTTCGATCTTTGGTATGTGTTCTTGGGGCTCTTTATCATCGCCATCGTCGAAGGAGACCGACTACAGAACCAAACCCAATACCCTGCTTTCACGATCTTCGCCGTTCTCTTTGAGATTGTGTCCGCCTATGGAACGGTTGGTCTTTCGATGGGATACCCAAACGTGAATGCTTCTTTTTCCAGCCAGTTCCGGGTACTTTCGAAGTTGGTGATCATTGCGATGCAGATCCGTGGCCGACACCGTGGACTGCCCTATGCCCTAGATCGGGCGATCTTGCTTCCCTCAGAATCTCTTCACCGGAAAGAGCTCGCTGAGGCCGAGCGCCATCTGCGGCGACGGAACTCCATGGTCAGCGAAATTTCTGCAGTCACCGGTCGGCAGCCGCCGGGTATATTCCGATCGGAGACCGGTCTCTCGACCGCGAGAGATAGAGGAAGTCGTCCTCAGGAGGCACAGTGAGTGATGGCCATGGTGTTCAATCGATGGCGTTACATGTAGACGGAGATGGCGTTTGTGTATATGCTTTGATCTCGTGCTTTGTTTTTTTCTCTCGTGAACGTACCTCTTTTGCGACACGTGACCGCTGAATACTTTGGATTCTGCAGCTAAGTATATGAATACTGTTCATGTATATAAAGTGCAACCGGTGTCAGCGCTGGTATTTAAATACAGGAAATACTCGTGTGTTCTGGCGACAGCTAAATAAATTTAAACACACCATTGCGTCCATCTTCGCGCTGGCCATGCTACGTAGCCATATCTGTATGGACCTTGAATAGGCACGTCACATCGACGGCGTGGCTGGTTCGGTACAGCACATGCGGCCAGCCATTTAGAGTTGGCGCCTTTTGTGGCACGTCGACGTCATCGATTGCGATTCTGCCCAAGCAGCGCCTTGTATGCCATGGACCTATCACTTGTCGACGCGTTTGATCCGCTCAATGAATCGGTTTGACATGTGGCATGGATCGCGCCGAAAGTGTGGAGAATTAGTTATTATCTATTATCTACATCCGTATGTAGAGTGCCTCTTGAGTAGATGCACTTCTCTCCTTATACTCTTTTTGCATGGAGATTCGATTGACACTGCCATAATCTCTATTAAATTTTCGTTTATTACTTGATTGTTCCTCAGCCTACTAAACCTTATAGGACATCCAAGTTGCTTTCTCATCGGAAATATTGATTTCTCAGGAGTGAGAAGCACGTGCGGACAAGGAGCGACTTGGCAGTTCTTCAATCAATTTTATAATAATCGTCCCTCGTTAGAGATATATATATATGTTTCCAGCTGAAACCTCGTTGCATGCTTTCCTGTTCGTCTGTTGAATCACCTGACAGAAGGGGATTCGTTAGTTCGTGATCACTTCAGCCATTGATGACTTTACTGAGAAATGCCCGTTGAAATCATCTGCAGTTGAATTTCTTCTTCTCTGAATATTGTCTCAGAGCGTCTGCTGGCTAGCTCGCTATGGAGTCCGGAGGTAAAGATGATGCAAATAAAGATGCCACTGTATCTGCATCTGCAGAGGCAATACCGCCAACAGCAACCGTCGAGGAGAGCAAAGACAGCAGCACAACGGAGGAGGAGTCAGAAACCTCAGAGAAGAATCCTGACCATGATGCGTCATCCTCCATGCCCGTATCCGAAGCCGCATCTCAGAAGCTGCAGGAGATCTCTTCAAAGGCGCTTCACAAGAGCAAGGATCTGCTCTCTGCCATGGACAAGCAACAACACTCAGAGTCACACTCGTCGGCCAACTCGACTACACCACCAACCATGAATGAGGACAGCAATACATATGATCCTTCACTTTCGTATAATTTTCTCAAAACAGACCCTGCTATCAAGCCCGTCGAAGTCGTTGGCAGTGAGCAGCAGCCAGCGCCTCCCGCAAAGAAGTCATCGCAAGGCGGAAGAGGAGGAGTCAAAGGGGCCACGAAAGAATTCGTCGCGACCGTCTTCCATCCAAGACGTGCGGTGATCCACCATTATCGATCCCGGACTGCGAAGAACCTGGCGACGGCCAGCCGTCCTTATACCTCGCCCACATCGGATCGAGATCATGCTCTAGCGATGACGGACCCAAATACCAGAAGCAGAGAGAAACGGCGAAGAGCAGCAGAAGAAGAGAGCGCGACTTCCCCGAGTCAGGAAGTCACGAATTCTAATTCTAATTCTAGCAGTGAGCAACAAGGAGGTATTATTAGCAGTCGTGGACGACGACGCATCAATAATCTGGCCGACATGCAGATGCAGAAGAAAAGCGACGTCTTCGAAAGGCAAAAGCTCGAATTGCGCCGTCAGGGTCTGGCTGCGGCGTGGATAACGGGTAGGCATATCAAACGCGTGCGATTGGTGCCCTCGAATGTTGTAGAATACCCCAGACTCGACGACGAGAAGTTCATGGAGAAGAAGAAGGAGAAGGACGATGATTCCTCCGACATAGTGGTCCGGTTTAAGTGGGAGAGATACATTGCGCAGGTACGTAGGGGGAAAAAATCCTCTACGCCCATTTCACTGAATTATCTTCTTTTCTAACTCGTCTATGAACCTACATAGCTCCTCCTGTACTACTCCCAAGACTTTACGGCTCGATATGTCGATGAGGGCGTGGCAGAGTTGCCCTCTGATTCCGTCACTTTCGCTCGATACATCGAACGCCTGGTCATGGCGACCGAAGCGTGGCAGTCGTGGTTCATGGATATACGCCGGCTCTACCGCTGGGAAGATCCGCGGTGGACGGCCTTGTGGTATGCCGTTTTTACGGTCCTGTGGTATACGCAGCATGTTGTTGGGTTTTTGGTGAGACGAACCCTATAGCCCAGGAGGAGACATTCTTACTAACGTTTGCTGTTTGCTGTTTGCAGTACGCATATGTCATCTTCATTGTGCTTAAACATCGCTTCTATCCATCCACGATCGACTCAGTCCGTCAGTCACTCGACCGTTCCCTCAACCGCGGTGCGCTGTCGTATCGATGGGGGGAGCTGGTCAATCGCCAGGCACGAAACCAGTGGCTGGAACCCCTTCTAGACGAAGTCGCGCCTTATATACAGATGCAAGTGGGCGATCTGGCGGCCTTCCTTGAGGTGCTAGAAAAGTGAATCCGAAAACGGCTCTCCGTCTTCCTGCTGTTACTGACATGGCCCTGTCAGCTTCTACCATTGGCGGAACCCGTCCAAAACGGCAGCGACGCTGTTTTTCTTCACTTCGTGCCTGACGCTGACGATCTTTGGGGACATGGAGTTTTGTATGAAGGTCTTCTGGCTCCTGTCTATCAATACGTTCTTTCTCGGCTGGCCGGTTGCGAGTCGATATCCGCGATACCGGTTTCTCGTCAGTCCTCTTCGGTGGATCTTTTGGGATATTCCTTCACATCGTAAGTTCCGCAGATTAATTTCTCTGAAGGTGGGGAAAGAAGGAGCCTGCATGTATATGTACTGACCCATTTTCTGTTTCTGCAGCTGAATGGGCAATTAAATTTCTTCAACAGCACGACGCCCTTCGGAGAGCAGAGAAAGCTCGCGGAAGAACTCACGCTGCAGCAATTTCGGGTGCCGCGGGCGACAAAAGGGATAGAAAGAGCAGTGACAAAAACAAACGGGAAGAGGAGTTCCAGGATCCCTGCGAGACGCAGGAACAAGTATCGCAACTACTACGTAGAGAAGGGGAGACAAGTGAAACGATCACCTTCCGGGCGCATCATCGCGGGCGCCAGGGACATCTGGTGCTGTCTCCGCAAGGGCTGCGATTCGTCGTCAAGAGTCATCATCTGTCTCTGAATCCGAAGAAGAATGACCTCCGCTCGCGCGAGGAGCTCTGGTCCTATCCATTCTCGAGCCTCGTCCAGTTAACCAAGCGGCACAGTCCCATGTCCTCCAAAGTCGCCGGCGTCGACCCTAGTCTCAAACGGCTAGAACTGGAGGTTTTGGTGCCGCCACCAAGCACTGATGATCATGATCATGATCATGATCATGATAATGTCGGAGATAACCTAGTTCGTCCTGATCCTGACGACGGGATAGCAAGAGGTGAAGATGATCCCTACACCTACGCAGCGAAGAGAGGGATGACGACGAGGATCGAGACGCTGGACGTGGACGGCGAGGAGCGAGACGAGATCTTCAATCTCATCGTCGGCTGGAGCAAGGCCAGATGGCAAGTGCTGGGTGCGAAGAGTGAGTTGAAGAAAATACTTGACAGGAAGGAACGTGCAGGGCGATCCAGTAGCAGTAGTAGTGATGGGATGGGATAGGAAGAAGAAATCATCGAGCTGGCTGTCACATATCTCCTAGATATACGCAATCGCTGGTAATGAGTTATGTCTAATTAATTAATTACACGTAATTTTTTATTCACAGTCTTGGTCACTATCCGCTTTTCCATCCGCTTTGTGTAGGCGCTCGAGGAAGTAGAAACAATCTCTGATGTGTTGCCAAGCAGACTCTCCAGAAGACTTAGGAGGTGACAGACATAGTGGCCATGGTAAGAAATTCTTGATGATTTAAGGGGTCAACAGACAAGGAAGAAGAAGATGATGAATGAGACGACGAAGATGGAATTGGTATCAAGTGAGGAGACAAGTCTTCAGGGGAGTTCTCTGAGTCAGGACGGACAATTTTCCTGATTGGGAAAGAGGATTTAGAGATGGTTGTGACACCAGATGGTGACGGCAGCAAATCCCTTGGAGATTCCAAAGAAGAAGGAGTCAACAGAGGAGGATTCGAAGAAAGAAGAGAAGAAGAAGAGAAAGGAAGAGAAGATAGAGAAAGTGGGGGATCCTGCCGAATGAGCTTAGGGCGTTTGGCAGGTGATCTTGAGGAGTTCCTTCCTGATTGAGATCCTTCCGTCAGAGGTCGTTGGGACCCCGCTCGCGCGCCCCGTCGAGGATCCAGCGCAACGAGAAAAAAGTGAGGATGAGAGACAGCAAATTCCTGAGAATTTGAGAGGTAATGAAAACGAGAAAGGAAGAGATTGAGGCACTAAGCCAGGAGATCACAGGACAATCGAAAACAGAGAAAACACGAGAGACTGCAGACAGTACAAGGAAACACACAGAAATCCTCCCAGAAACCGGGGACAGAAGCAAAACAAGACACGAGAAAGACACGATGACGACAGTACGAAACAATCAGGGATCCAAGGCTCCACGAAATATTGTGACTCCGGTTCTTGCTCGGGGTGATCTGTGAACGCAAGCCCCGGATAGAGCGTAAAGTCCAGTCCGGCAGCTACCAGCACGACTCCCTTCCTGTTGCCAGGCCAGGCATACTTAGAATTTGATCTGCCCCCTTCTCCAGCCGTGTCACTCGTTGCCATCTTCTGCGACCGCTTGTGGGGTAACACCATGTCGATGGCCTCGACGTCTGCATTATTGCGAAAAGACTTCAAAATTCCAACATGCGCTGAGATATCTGGCAGAATTTTTTGCAGCCGTTCTCATGAGATCTGCACATTCTGTGCGCAGGGCGGCCATCAGGCTATCGTGCTTCCGGTTCTTCACCTGAACAGTGAAATATGCCATCATATTCAGCTTCGGTAATCCAACCGGAATCACAAGATCATATGCTTTGAAGCCTTGTGGAGCAAAGAGTGCCATTCCCCGAGCCATGCTCGTCGCATAACGTAGGAAAAGTGGAAACTTGGTACGAAGAGCAATTGTGCGAATCAAGATGAAGTCATATTGTGTTGTGTGTGAGTCCTATCTGTAATCGCCCTGTTGGCCCTGGTGAAGTGGTTAAAAAAGACATAGTCATCTCAATAGCTATGTATGTCTACATCATCAGCCATACATTCTTGCAGGGTGTCTCTCATTGTCCTCGGGAGTAGAGAGGCAAGAATATCAGAGAACCTGATAGGGGTGGGCAGGCTCCTATCCCCTGTGTGCCTTGTCGAGAGTAAACAACAAACACCATTTCTCCTATTATCACCGAGATGAATGGTGCGAGTAGTTACATTCTTATACAGGGCCTTGACGACATTCACTCGGGTCTCTTCGTGATCCTTCATCTCTCTGGCAGCCATGTGTGCCAAGATCGGTTCTGAAGGGTGTTTTGTCCGCAACTCTCTATGGTCGCCACCGATACTGTGAACCATTCATAGGTACCCAGATGTAAGATCTTCGGCTAGACTGTGAGAAATCACGTAGAATTGCATGCGGTAAGATAGCAATGCGAGTGAGACGATTTCATTGCTAGCACCATCACTGGGTCTGCCACTAAATATCTTAATTCGTGCCAATGACCTTGCCTCAGTGATTGTCTGCCTTTCGAGCATAGCTCCCCAGTAAGGTCGACTGAGGCTGAATAGAGATGCCACATCAATCTCGGTTGTGACTTGGGAAACAACAGCAGGACCTTTTGCAAACACGTCAAAGGAATCGATTTCCCAAATCGGCGCAAATAGTCCAACAGGAGTTCCTGACTTGGCACTGGGATCAAGCTCTTGCGGAGGCCCGAGATGTCCACTCCAAGATGTCACATATGTGAGAGCCTGTCATGCTATCTGTTGGATGACAAAGTTCTTACCAATTCCACTTGGTCCCATAATGGATGTGTATGGGGAAAAAATTCTCTGCGGAGTCAAATCTTCTGAAGAAGGACATAACTTTCTTTTATACGGGAGTTGTAACGTCCGGTCCCTCCTTCTGGGGAAGGGAGGAGATAAGACCACTCTTTTTTTTTTGCTTCCTTTACGAAAGCAGGGGAGAAGAAACTGTTAAATGCGCGACTAGGGAATGAGGAAAATTTTTTGTGGTAAAGAGGGGGCAAGATGGTATGCGGCCATTGTGGGGAGAAACAGAAAATCGTTGAAGATGAGGAGATGGGGGGTTTTATATTGCGAGATTTCTTTATGCATCCCAAAAGGAAAGGCAGGACAGTGACTCATATCCTGTGACTGCGAGGACGGCACGTTTTGCCTGATTTGGACGTTTCGCAAGTCACTTTAGCTTGTGGCTCAGGTCGTGCAAGGAATTCTCCAGGACTTTTTTCTTTCTTGCAAGCGCGACATTACTCATATAGGAAGACCACTTGGAGTTCAGATATTTAGGTAGCATCTGCTTCATGATATAGATTATATCTCTACCCGTATTATTAATCGTAGACCAATCTCCTTCATTCTTTAATATATAGGCTAATAAGAAGGGTATTAGTAACGAAGGTCTTAGTATACTTAGGCAGTACTAACTGGGGGTATCAAATTCGAAACCTGTTAATTGTTTCTACAAAGACCATGCTAGAGTGCTGTTGGGTTTGGCACTCTGTCCATTAACAAGATAGCATTTGGATTGAAAGGCTTCATTATCTTTGATGTTGTCACTATCATCAGTGTTGTCAAGCTTATTCTCGTGTCATGTCTTGACCTTTCTTAAAGAGGAGTAACATCTGTGGCCATAAAAATTGGATTTCAACTAGATATGAATGGATGGAGAAATGAGTGGAGTAGACAAGAATATGTCCCCAAAAAAAGTGAAGAAAGATGAAGATGACCACTTTTCAAAGTAATTGGCTATATTTAGCCATTGCACGCATGCATGTTGCTTGCTGACAATAGACAGTTTTTCTAATACTAACACTAAATTTGAACGACTGAGAGATTGCGAATCCGAAAGTAGGTATCTACATAACAGGTCCCTTATTAGCAGTGACGTGAGGAAGTGTTGAAAGTGTTTACTTACCAGTAGTCGGCCCAGGAGAGCCACTGGATCCTTCCATTTGCAGATCAATGATCCTGAAACAGCGTCAGCAATAACAAAAGCAAAATTAAAAAAAAGAATCCAAGCTTATACTTACAAATACAGAGGCTTGCCGACATAGTCTGCCCCATACTGGGTCGTGACCAGCGAATCATCCAGGTAGAACTTGACCGAGATGTTACTTCCGTCCTCGTCACGGATTTCCGCTTTAACGGTGTGGAAGTCATCTGGCGAATTGTACGGGACGTTCACTGCCTCGACGGCTGAAGAAGTCTTGAATACGTTTGTCAGTCCGATCAGAAATGAATTGACGTTAGGGTTGGCCGACGCACATTAAACGTATTGAAAGAAATATCGCCGTCTCCTGCCAAACTGTCAGTATCTATAAATCCTTAGATACTAGACTGCAGACCCTTCCACTCAGCGATATCAATCTCAGGCGGCCACGAGTCCACCCCAGTCAGCCAGAAAGCAGGCCATGTCCCTCTGGCTGTCGGAGCCTGGAACTCCGCCTGGAAGTCGAATCCGGAGCCTGCGCTGACCGTGAACGTCTGCGCCGCATGTACCGTGCCAGAGAGATAGTGGATGGCTATGCCACTGCTCGTGGGGGGCTGGCCACTGGTTGGCTTTGCGATCAGAGTGAGGGTTCCGGGGGGCTCGATGGCGATGTACTCATGGTCGGTGGAGTTGCCAACCATTCGTGCAGAACCGTTGTGGTCGGAGCCCCATGGGTACAGATATTCAAAGTACTCTTCCAGCGCGGAATAAGAGTCGAAACAAGATGTGGGGATGAGAGTCGTTGCGCTGCGGACTGCAGCTGCAAAGCTGAGGAATGCTACGAGCGGAAGCATGTGGACAGGACAAGTTGCTGTTGCTAGTCTGATTACTTGGTTCTGGTCAGTAGTGCTTGCTCATTATTCCTCACTCGAGATATATACGTTCTACATTTATAAATCCCTGTACGGAGTAAATCAGTCTAATTCAACTGAATTACTAGGCCTCCACCGGGGAACTGGAGAAAAAAGTGTTAATAGCACTGTACTCATTCTTTTTGCAGAAGTCAATATATTTTTTCCACCGCTCACTGGTCATACACCAAATCTAATCCATCAAGAGATCGGGATATTACCAAATGTGCACAAGATCTGTCCAAATCGGAAACGTGTTTGGTTCGATGGCAATGCGCCAAGTCTAATGGAATGGACTGATGCCACCTTCAAATCAAGGATGGCTGTCATGATCTAGTACCTATTTACTTGCACGTCTCATCATGGACCCCCGCAAGGGTCATGTCTGTCGTGGGGTTGAGCGGAGTCAATGGTGGGGTACCTAATTCGGGGGAAGGGCTAGGGAGGCAACCAGTCAGCTATCCTTGTGAAACTACATTTGTGAAGCAGCCAATATCTGATTGCTAAACGATGGTTTCAGACCGGCCAATTAACTTCCAACGGTGGTGACAGATTGATAGATAACCTTCAAGGTTGCTTCCATTTAAGATTTTTTTTCCGCCTATCAGCGGATTAGAGTGACACAGCGAGTTTTCTACGTCAATATCTTATAATTGATTTAGGTAGTCTAAAACCCTACTTGGAATTAGATCATTTCAAGACAAAAGTTTTAGTAACGGCAATCTAAGAAGGACAGATTTAAAAGAATAAGCATAAACCGTATCAAGAATAGCGTGACACCAATGACCTAATGCTTCACTATTATTAGATAAACTATCAGCGAGGAACAGAGCTATCAAAAAGCTCACATCCATCATCAGACTCGAAGCCATCCTCACAGAAAAGCGCAACAAATATCCTAAAAAAGAATGCCAATATCTTACCTAATATAAACGGAAGAACGACTCTCTTCAAAGATGGTAAGTAACAGCGACTGGTTGGAAAGTGCCGGCTTGCCCATGCTGGGCCGCGATAGGGAGTAATATTGATATCACAGCTGTGAAGCACTATTTATTTATTCCGCTCAAAGAGAAGGCGTCTTCGTTACAATATCACATTTCTATTAGGTAAGAAGGTTGATTTCACTCTTCAGAAAGGCAGGTATGGTAACCTCCTGGCACCTTTTTTATGTGAAAAGCCGGTTATTACCAATTTTGGTAAGCAGAAATTCAAAATTTATAGTTGAACTATTGCCTATCACTTATAAAGGTCCACTTGATCGTTAGACGGGTACTTTTTACGTTCCGGATAGTAATAATATTTTTTTTCTCTTCGTGAAAAATATTTGACGTAAGAGGGATATTGTCCTCACTTTAGGATGGATTTTACGTGAGACCCGAGTCCATTTTTTCAGCTCGAATACACATCCGAGGATGTCTTAACCAGAATTTGCCCGCAGCACATTTCCTTCAACGTGATTTGACCGCTCAAGCGTTCGATTCCACGTACTCTGTTTTTCTTGATATCCTTTGCACTCCCTTGATCCAGCATCATGTCGTACTATCCACTGGGCCATTCGAAGGCGGCTCTTATCGCATCAGCCACCGCAGCACTAACACAGTCCTCACGGTTTATCTCCAAAATGGCGCTTCGATCAAGTCCAAACCTGGTGCTATGGTCGAGATGTCTTCAATCATAATCTTGCAAGGTATCTTCAGCCTTATCGAATCGATAATACTCTTTCAATCGCGATGAGTACTGATACCATCTATCCGTCACACAGGAAAAGTCAAATTCAGCATGAAAAAGCCGTTCACCGGCAGTGAAATGTCTGAATCTGTCTACACCGGACCCGGTGAGATCTGCCTCGCTCCGACTCTCTTCGGCGACATTGTGACAGTCCATGTCAATGCCAACGACACATGGAACATCGGCATGGACACCTTCCTCGCATGCACGCCTGGCGTGCAAAAGGAAGCCAAAAGCCAGGGCCTTAGCAAAGCGCTCTTTAGCGGGGAGGGTCTGTTCATCTATCGAGTCAGTGGAATGGTATCCTTTGGTTAAGCTCGTTTGGGACCATCACTCGACGAGATGTAAGCATGGTTTTTGAGAGTCTTTTCCATTTATTGGTGAGGGTTCGGGCTAACAAGCAGTCAGCTGCAACCAAACGAAGAGCACATCGTGGATAACGGTCATCTTGTGGCCTGGAACTGCAATAATAGGATGAGCTTGCTGGAAGTGGGACTATCTCGAGTATAAAGACGGGTGAGGGCTATGTATGCCGGTTCACTGGCCCAGGTACGGTGTATGTCCAGACCAGGAACCTGGATGACTTTGCGGCGTGGATTGCAGCACAGGCGCCTAGTGATACTTCGAGAGGCTTCCTTCATCTGGTCACGAGTTGGCTCGATGGGAGGGGGATGCTAAGGCAACATATTCATGGTGTCAAGAAGATTGGACATGAAATGAAGAAGTAGAGTTAGAAGCCACCCCAACTTTAGATCTATCGCAGCCTATACCAAGGCACCTATATTCACTCTGTAGGCTCACCTGACATACCAGTCCAAGGTAGGAAGGTCCAGCCAAGGGTGAACGTTTGAGCTCCTGCTTCTTTAGGCATGGTCTCTTTGTCTGGAACTGACCCCAAGCCTTCACTTACCTTCATCTTCACTATCTGTGCTTCACTGTTCCGTCTGCTACCATCTTGGTTGCATTATTTCTTTTCCTTTCTGTCACCTGAATCAGATGTCTCTGCAGAAGATAAAAAGCCAAGTCCCAGACTGGACAGAAGACGAAAGCAGAAAGGCAAATGAACTATCGAGGAAAAGAAGAGGGCTCGACAGAGGTCGAGCGAGGTGTCATATGCAAGCACAGAGTACTGGAATCATGCAGTTGATGAAATCGTTGCAGACAAAGTCCTGCTAGACCTTCGTTGACAGGTTGAGCAGAGAGGTCTAGTCGACAAATTGGCCTTTCAACAAGCTGAATCCGCTTACTGCAGGCGCAGATACAGGATCGAAGCAAAGCAGGAATCCCTCAGGCGGAAATCGGATCGCTTCAGGAAACGGGACAAGGTGCTTTCTCTGGTTAATACAACGAATCTCGTTTCCCTCCGCGCCGCATACCTGGAACTGGTTCTTGCCATGCAAACCCGTACCTCCCGAAAAAGGCAACAGAGTTTTGTTGAGAGCCTATGTGACAACTATGGTTCTATTACAATGGGACGGATGCAACACGTCTGGGACCCTGTACGAGGCGATTTTACTCATAGGTCTGCGCTGACTGCTTGTCACATCTTCCCACTAGCAATGGGACAAAAATCTATGACATACATCTTTGGAGAAGAAGCTGAGGATGAGATCAATCGAGCGCGCAATGGACTTTTTCTGCCGCCAGAGGTTGAGCCTGCCTTCGACAAACACGAAATTGTGATTGTACCTGATGGAGTTCAAACAACACCTCAGGACTACAGAATTATTGTGCTTGACAAAAGCGGACGATGGGAATATCCTGCCTTTCCGGGAGGTGATCCTTGGAAGGACCTACATGGGAAGAAGCTCCGATTTCAGCCTGGCAACAATTTCCGTCCGAGATCCCGCTATTTATATTTCCATTACATTGTCTCGATGTTGATACATTATCGAAACCGAAATGTCAAGCATGGCACACATTCAGTGGAGTTACCAGAGGCTAATATGCCGGAACTCTCAAAACTTTGGGCCACTGAAGGGAAATACCTACGGAAGAATGTCATGCTGGCATTTATCGAGGGACTCGGGCATGAGCTACTGCCGTCTGAAGATGTACTTGGACATGCAGACGATGACATACCGGACAATGAGGGAGAAGCAGCTACGAAGGGTATCGAGGAGCTCGACCTGGTCAGCAGCGACGAAGACGATTAATTGCGATGGCTAGAAGAGTTGCGCGGAGCACGACAGACACCACGACCGTGACAGGACATTGATTAGGGCATAATTGACTGGATGCATCTATTATTAGCTTGACAAGTTTCTTCTGAAAGAAAAAAAAAGAACTCATAAATTTTATTCGGTAATTACCAGACCTAGGTCCTACCGCGTGCAGTTTCAATTATAATACTCGTGGTGAAGCTGAGGATTGCCATGTTTATTAATTGCAGACCCACGGCGGAAGGCTGCTGATTTGGCCTTAGCGGGCGGAAATGCTGCTCTTCCGCGATCGTAGGCGCGTCGCAGACGGAAGAAAAGGGTCGAGTCTTTCTCTGCTGTTCTGCTGCTGCTCCACCAAAAATCAGCACGGCTCTCCGTAAAAGGATTGGCCCTTATCGATGGCAGTGCAGCGGCGATGATGAAAGATCATTATCGCCCGGCTCCACCAGTCGTCAAGGCACGGCGGATATGCAGAGCTTATCGTGCAATGACATGCTTCCAGCTACCCCGGTCCCTCTGGGTCGCCCTGGCAGTTGCTGTACAGGTGGAGACCACTCCCATCCTGACAGGACGCAGCAGCTGGGATTAAGTAGCAATTGTTGCGTGATGCAGATGGAGAAGTGATGCAAGACAAGGATTCCTGTAAGGCAATGATTGTCTCCGCAGAGCTCCTTCCCAGGCACTCCGTCCACCCTCCATCTCGCTCGGCCCTCCCATTTCTTCTCCTTTCGATTCATCCGACATTCTCCCATCCATCCCTTCGTTTCATTGCTAATACCATCGCAGAAATTCATTATTATCTTCCGGAATTGCTGTCGTTATTTGCGCGCCTCTCGCTAGTCGAGCCATCACTCGCTTGATAGTCGTATCTGATTTCCCCGCAATTTGCAGGGTTACGCGTTCACCACCCTCGCTCGCTAAACTGACAGAGACTGAACTTGTTTACGATTTTCCGCTGAGCTATATCAGCTCGATCGTCGTCAACGATGTCGTACGTGAGTCCTGGCCGAGACAACATGGGCCGTTACGACCCCGTGTCGCAGCCCCAAAAGAATGAACCAGATACCTTCGCTCCACCACCGCCTACGTATTACAATGGTCCGGTTGCAGCTGCATCTGGAGGCTTTCCATCGCGCTCGAAATTCGACCCTCGTGGGTGGAGTCTGCGCAAAAAGATTCTAGCCGGCTTAGCTGTTGCCATCGTGATAGTCGTGGTGATCGTGGGACCATACGAAGGCGTCAAGCAAAATCGCTACCCCAACTACTACCCGCTCAAATATTCCTTGAAGGACACCTACCAGGGAGCCAATTTCTTCGACAATTTCGAGTACTGGTCGGCTCCTGATCCGGCTCAGGGCTTCGTTCAGTACGTACTGGCTGTTTCGTTGAATCGGTAGTTCTGGTTTCTGACAGTGAACAGCTATCTTGATGCAGCAGGTGCCAAATGGTCAAACCTGTCCTATGCGACCGACACTTCTGCTGTCATCAAAGTCGACACCACATATCCCAATACCGTCGGGGGTCGAAACTCGATCCGGATCCAGTCGAAGAAAACGTACAATGATGGCCTCTTTATCTTTGACATCCTGCACTCCCCGTACGGGTGCGGGACATGGCCAGCATTGTGGCTGGCGGACGCATACAACTGGCCTACAAACGGTGAAATCGATGTGGTCGAGGCCAACAATGCTGGGACATTCGGGAACCAAATGACCCTCCACACCACCAAAGGCTGCACCATGGGCGTCAAGCGGAAGCAGACGGGCAGCGTCATTGCCAAAGACTGCTACAACGTCACCAACAACAACCAGGGTTGCGGGGTTCAGGCGCCGCCTGCTACGTACGGGCCTGAATTTAACGCCAATGGCGGAGGGGTAAGTCGTGACAGAAATATAAATAAACATCAGACCAAAGCAAGACGACTGACATGTCCTGCAGGTTTATGCGGCGGAGCTGAGAGATGCCGGGATCCGGGTCTGGTTCTTCCCTCGCGACTCGATTCCCACCGACATCACCGACCCCAACGCGACGCCCGACCCGTCGACCTGGGGAGAAGCGTTGGCCGACTTTCCCAGCACTGACTGTGACATTGCGTCTCATTTCCGCAACCAGAGCATCATCGCCAATATCGATCTGTGCGGGCAGCTGGGAGGGCAGGTCAGCCTCTACAATGAGCAATCCCACTGTCCCGGGACGTGCACGGACTTTGTGGCCAACAACCCGGGCGCCTTTAATGAGGCGTACTGGGAGTTTAAGAGTTTCAAAGTTTATCAAGCGAGTTAAGGATTGATCAATGTTATTTTTAATACCGGTTTGGGCGGCATTATTTAACGACTCGGGTATGGGCACGAATTAGGTTACTGATACTGGGTTTACTGAATTAATGGATTAATGATACTGAAAAAAGGGCGTTTCGAAAACGTCCCTCACCTCGCTATTTTTTTTTCTCTTCCTTCTTAATGACTGGGCAAGGTTGACAGGCTGGCACTGACAATGGCAATGGCAATGACAACGACATGTATTTAGTCAGACCAATAGACAGAAAGCATTGATTGCAATAGAAATAGAAAAAACAATTTGAAACTTCCCTTCCCCGTTCTGACTATCTGTCTTGTTTTTTTTTCTACATATGTTGATATAATAAATTGGATGTTTTGAAATGCTGTATTTTACTTTTCAACTTCTCGGTTTATATACAGTATATACATACAGTATATACATGAATATGATCAGTGAGTTAGGTAGGTAGGTAGGTAGAGAGGTAGATGTCTCATCTGCTGGAGTGTGGATGAGTGTGGATGGATTGGGTCGAGAGTGATGATATTTCCCTCTTACTCATCCTCCTCCTTTCTTTCTCCTTGTTGTTCTGTTAGGTGACTGCCTACAACCTCGTTCTCGTGGAACCCCTCTCCAACGAACAAATGCCTGTCCGTCGATCGCCAAGCTGCTTCCGCAACAGCTTGCCTGTCGGGTTCTTGACCAGCGCCGTGACCTCCCACACGCCGCCGCGGAGCTTCTTGTACCCGCTGACGAGACGGTCGACGTCGCGGTGGATGAGCCGCAGCGCGTCCTGTCTCTCCGCGGGCGTCTTGTCCCGGAAGAGCTCTGGCTTCAGCACCACGTACGCCGTCGGCAGTTCCGTCAGCTGCGACTCGTCCCAGACGGCGCCTACACCGGCCTCAGCCACGAACTGGTGCGAGTTCAGATGCGCCTCCAGCTCGACGGGGCTGATCTGGAAGCCCTTGTACTTAATCAGTTCCTTCGAGCGGCCGACGACGGAGATGATCCCGTCGTCCGTGATCGTGCATATGTCCCCCGTGTTATACCACCCCGGGAGCGGGAATCCCTTCCGGTTCGCTTCGTCGTTGGCGACGTACCCGCTGAAGATGTTGGGCCCGCGCAGCCACAGCTCGCCTGGTCCGCCGTGGGGCGCGTCTTCTGTCGTGTCCTCTTTCTTCAGCATTGCCTCGATGCCTGGCAGTAGCCGGCCAGCGGCGCCGTCGGGCAGGTTGGTGTCGTCCAGCTTCTGGTACGCTACATAGGGCGCTGCTTCCGTCATGCCGTACAGCTGGATCGTCCGCCAGGGCGCGCGGCTCAGAAGCCTGTCCAGCAGGTCCTGCTTGAAGGGTGCGCCGCCCACGTTGATGATCTCGGCGCTCGAGAAGTCGTACCGCTCGCAGATGTCCGTGTTCGCCAGCGACAGGACAACCGAGGGCACCCCCTGGAAGCTGGTGGCCGCGTTGGAGTGGACCAGCTGCCCGAAGGTCTCGAGGTCGAAGCTGGGCATGGCGTGGTGCATCATGCCCGTCCAGGGCCCGAAGAACAACGGCATCGTTGTCATGGCGATGTGGACGAAAGGCGTGAAGGCAACGGTGCGCGTCCACTTGTGGAACTGCCGCGGATCGTGGGCATAGAGCTGGTAGCAGTTGGCGACGAAGTTGTAGTGCGTCAGTCCGGCGCCTTTGGGCGGTCCTGTCGTCCCCGACGAGAGGTGGATCGAGGCCAAGCGGGTTGACGTATCCTTCCACTGGGGAATGGGGAGGGGTTGGTCCATGAGGAAATCGTCCGGGACGTGCTCGTATCCCGGCCGTTTCGTGACGATCGTGAGCACGCGGGGTCTCGTCCAGGTGATACCTCGGGAATTCTTCAGCTCGTCGCGCGCGATGGCAATCGCCTCCTCGACCTTGTCTAGCACGTCCCCGTATACGACGAGGAAGCTGGGTTGGGAGATGCACAGGCCGTGCGCGATCTCAGTCGCCTTAAGGGCATGGTTGATGGGGCAGAAGACACCTCCCGTCCAGAGCACGGCGTGCACAACTTCGATGAAATCAACTGAGTTGGGCAGGATCACGCCCCAGCGCGCGTCATCTGTGGCGCCCAAGCGCGATGCGAAACCGTTGGCCAGGCGTCCTGCTCGCGAACGCAGTTCGCCGAGGGTGAGACTGCGGTTGGTGAGATTGTCTTTCGCAATTAGGTGGGAGGGAGGGAGAGGAGGAGAGCAGGCGCTGGAATGGAGAAGTTGGGTGAGGTTGACATCGCGGGGGATGGAGATGGTGGCTGGAGAGCGATAGATGTGATGAGACATTTTATTTTAGATGTCATCCATCCATGACCAGACGAGATCACAGCCAGTCAAAAAAAAATTCAGTATCAGTCCAGTCTGGGAAGAGCATGGACGGGATCTGGTCATTATAGCAGACACGCTGGGACTCCAGGCACATGCAAATTAAACATTCCACCATCGAGCTTAAATAACACCATCGGTTATGTCTTTATGCAGCCCGTATTTATCGCGATAGCGAGGTCCCATCGCTAGGATGGAGCTGGGCGGCGGTGGTTCGCATGCCATGCTGGCCGTTCGTTCGCCAGTTCGCTTCGGCTCCGGGGAAAGATCCCTGTGACGAGAAGGATTGATTAGTTCAGATTAGTTCAACTGATTTGAATTCTCCGATTTAGCGACGGTTTTAGGGTCTCTTAGGGAGTAGATGCTCTGCAGAGGAAAAGGGCGCCCCACGTGTCCGCATCCCCACCGCGAAGCAGCCGCGAGCCGCCTAATCGGAAAATAGGACCAAAATGGAAGGTCGATATCACATACCAGCTTCGTCGAGTGACTGCGATGTGATCGATGAGATGGCTCCAGCAGAATCATAAGACCAGTCGAGGCTGTCCAGAGCATAACGAACGGCTAGCTCTGCGACATTTGTCGGCAGCTCTGTAAGCGAGAATCCGTCTTCCAGAAATAACTCCGGACGGGAGCGGATGCTGCGGGCCTCGGCTACAGGGACCAATTAGCGTGACGAGCGATGATCGCATTGCCGACTGTGGGGAGAGTCAACTCAGACAAGATCCCTATCACATTGTGTTCTTGCGCCTGGTAACTCTGAAGTATCTTTAAGCTACAGTTCCTGAATCCTACATGGTACCGTGGAAGAGCGAAAGATTACTTCAAGAGACTAAGACTACGAAGAAAACGAAAAGAAGAAGAGCTGTGTCTGGGCCTGGCAGACGATTGCAGCCTGAGCAGAGAGATGTCGACGATACCCTGTTCGTTGATCTGATCTTGTTCTTGCCATCTGATACTCAGCAATATCATACTCTCCGGTCGTATACTCCGCCAGCACACATATGCAGTCATCCGCCACGTGAAGCGGAAAAGAAGCCACGCTGATTCGACACTGAAGCGGCAAGAATGCGAAGCCACACCACGCCATGTTTGATTCGAATCCTCCTTGCCAGCATAATCCTGATCTCCGCGTATCGACTGTGATATCAGACGGCGTTTTCAAAAGCGGCGACGGAGGCGCAGTGGCGGTGGTGGCTGTGATTCTGGGGATATGACTGCCGTCAGTGCTGTACATCGTCATCAGGGTTTCTCTCACCTAAAATAAGACAACAAGTTCCATGGAAAGACCTTTGTCGTCGCTCGCTGACCAGACACAGATGATATCCGGGAAATAGGCTTTCCTCCGCCCACTGAATCGATGGCGGAGGCGAGACGAGATGATGTCAGTTGAGATCATAGCAGGATAACCACGCCATTTCAGCAAGAGACGACGGACAAAATGCTATATAAATGCGCAGGTTGAGGACCATATGGACGACTTTTCTGGTCCAGATTCAGATCGAGTATTGAATTGCCTTTGAGTTCTCCAGAAGTCTCAAATCACCCCAAACAAAACCACTTAAAAAAAAAGTGTGCTTCACGGCATTACCACATCTTCACCATGACTAGCAACTACAACTACGGCACCTACGGTACCAACCGCTACGGCTACGGCACCACTGGCACCACGGGCACCACGGGCTATGGCACGACGGGCTATGACACCACGGGCTATGACAACACGGGCTATGGCACCACGGGTTACGGGGCTACGGCACCACCGGGTACGGCACCACTGGGTACGGCTCGACGTACGGTACAACCGGCACGACCGATTCGTACGGCAATGCCAACCGCACCACCTACGACCCCGACACTGGTGCCTATGACCAGCACATAGACTACAACACAGACGGCACACGCCGCCACCATCGCGAGCAGATGGACGACACTGGTCGCTACTACCACCGCGACGTCGACAAGGACACCACGGGCTACGACAACACCAGCCGCGTGCACAAGGAGTACTCCAACCCCAACACGGGCACGTCCTACCACCGCGACACCACCTACGACCGGGGAGACACCTCCTCCACCTATTGAATTCTGATCGCGTCGTTCATGTGACGAGGCGGGTAGAAGAGTGGGAGAAGGCGCCTGTGGCAGTGGATGAGGTTTACTGCTGACAAGATGAAGTCTTCTCATTTGTGTACCCCACCAGTCGTGTACTTAACAGCCAAGAAATAAAATTCCCCATGACGTTAGGACTGGGACTTGTCAAGATTGCTGTTCGTTTTTGCTTTCCTAGTAGACTCAGCTTTGTACGGAGTAGTAGTATATGGTTTATTCCTGGGGGTACTCCAGCCTCGGCAAATTGACCAGTAACAGGGCAGAACAAGATCGAGTAGAATTCCCGGGTTTAGTTCCCTGAATTTAAAATTCAAAAATGCGCTATGAACAGGCTTAGGTATGTACTTAGGTAGGTTGCTGAATCTACCTAACACGTGATGAGACGGTAAATCCGGTTAGGCCAGTTCATTGACCTTGTCCTCGATGTCTAAGGCTGCAATGGATTCATTTCTTCGTAATGTCGATCAACGGGACGATTTCTCAGCCCCACTATTCCTGATCTTCACAGCAAAAACAAGTGATTAAGCTTTGTCACAAAGATGGCAGCAAGCTTAGAGCGAAAGGCGATGTGGAGCCCTTCTGGTCTCTGGTCCCGTCTATTTAGGGAGCAACTTAACTGACGCTAGTTGGGAGTATTTCCCCGCAATTTATCAACGCTACAGCGTGTAGCTGCATTATTTTTTGACTGCAGCAGCTTCTTCTTTTTACTCCTGGCGATTTGATTTCTTGCATTTTTTGTTTCTTCTATAGTCCTACATTTCCAGCATCGATCGCACTGGAGTTTCTCTGCTGATACTACTATATAGGTATATACAATTTACCGCATTAATTGAACTAAACCAGACACTACATACTACATTCTCGAAAGACCTGTTTCGTCTGTCGACATCGTCATGTCTCCTGTCATCCCTCCTCCTCCAACACCCACCTTCCTCAAGCTCTCCTACCCTGCCCCCCCGCGTCCTCCTCGTCACCATGTCCCGCGAAGAGAGCCTCAACTGCATGAACACCGCCGCCCAGTGGGAGATGGACGCCGTGTGGAAATGGCTCGACGAGGAGCCCACGCTCTCGGTGGCCGTGATCACGGGCGCAGGCAAGAAAGCCTTCTCCACCGGCGCTGACCTCAAAGAATGGAACAACTCCATGGCCGACGAAAACGCTGACCCAAGAAACCGTGTCGGCAACCGGCCCGCCTTCACCCCGCTCAGTCGCCGGCTGGGCAAGAAACCCGTCATCGCGGCCGTCAACGGCCTGGCCGTCGGCGCCGGCACCGAGTTCGTCGTCAACTGCGACCTGGTCGTCGCCGCCGAGAACGCGACCTTCGCCCTGCCCGAGGTCAAGCGCGGCGTGGCCCCCATCGGCGGGTGTCTGCCGCGACTCATCCGGACGATCGGGCTGCAGCGCGCGTCCGAGTTTGCGCTCACGGGCCGCAGCATCACCGCCCAGGAGGCGCTCGCCTGGGGGCTTGTCAACAAGGTCGTGCCGCAGGACGAGGTCGTCGCCGAGGCGGTGCGCTACGCCTCGCTCATCGCGGAGAACAGCCCCGACGCCATCATCTGCACGCGCGCGGGGCTGAGGCAGGGCTGGGAGACGGCTGCCGTCGAGCGCGCGGTCGATATCACGCTCGAGCGCGAATGGGCCGAGCTGCAGAAGGGCGAGAATATCCGTGAGGGGCTGCGCGCGTTTGCGGAGAAGAGGGCTCCTGTGTGGAGGGGGAGTAGGTTGTAAACGCATAGATTCTTTTTTCTTCTTGTTCTATAGATCTGCTTCATTCCTTTTCTGTTCCGTTATGTGTTTCGATCTCTTTCCTTGTTTTACTTCAGCATGTATATACGATACCTCGATAGCATTATAAAGATTTACTATATTAGACTACTAGCATGGTCAGCTACTTTCACGAAAAAACACTGAAGACAATAAACTCCAGCATTGCTTGCTATTTAGTCCATTTCGTCAAGGGTATACGTTATCTCATTCTCGTTATATTATCTACTCGTCGTCCAACTGCATAACATACATACGAATCCCCAGTACACCTACCAAGCAGAACACACACTATCCTGCACGGATGGAGGGTTGCTGGTGGCTTCACCCCAGTTGGCAGCTGCTAAAGCCTGCCCAGCCGCCGTGGAACGATCAGATCGGATCTACCAATCAGTCAGTCAGTCAGTCCTCAAAGTTTCTAGTCTGCCTGAGACATACGTAATACTTCGGGTCCACGTAGTACCACCAGTCGTCGCTGCGGAACGCATTGTCCGTCGACTGGCTGGCCGGGTCGTTCCAGCCCGTGTTGCGCGTGTCGAAGTTGGCGTGCTTCGACCACGACACGTACACCTTGGGGTGGTCCTGGTTCTGCACCCCGTTGGGGTCGCGCGCGTCGCCCGCGTTGATCTGGTCCGTCGTCAGCGTGTTCTGGATCGATCCCCACGCCAGGTTGTGGTAGCCGCTGTGCGCCGAGAGCAGCGCGCGAGACGGTGCCCAGTTGTTGTTGGCGTCCCGCGAATGGATGATGATGACGCGCTCCCAGTCGCTGTTGCACATACATATATCAGTCTTTGGTTCTCTTAAGTGAATAAGGATGGCTGATGCATACTAGTCATGGCCCGTGTCAATGAGATCCGCCACCTCCGCGCCATCCTTTTGATAGAACAGGTTGTACACCACCCGCACCTCCGTTTCGTTGCATCGCTCGTAGGTATAGTAGATTGGGAACGCCGGTCCCGGATTGCCAATGGGCACCCCCGGATTGCGGCAGTTACATCCCACGTCCGGATACTCGCACTGCGGCGCGGGAGGCGTCTGGTGCGCCAGGTCGTATGTGTCCGGCGTCGTGGGAGAGCCTCCAAACGCCCAGGTCGGGTAGCACGGTGGCTGGTCCATGGCCTGGCCGAAGAACCAGAGCGGAGCATATCGGTTGGCGAGGTCGACACCGCCGGCATTCAACAAATCCGTCATCTCATCATCAGAGATTGAGGTCACCGCAAGGGCCGTCGAGGCCATAGTGGCCAGCAGAGCTGCTGAGAGGACTCGCATGGTGGCAGCACAGTCGACTCAAACTGTAGTTGCTCGCAAATATCACTCCGTCTTCAGTCCTATTAATTCACAACAGCTCTAACCCGTCGTGAACAAAAGAAACAGAAAAGAGGAGGACGACAACCGGATATCCAGCCATTTTGTACTAATTGCGCTAGAATCATTGCTGCTTGTGATCGCCTAAGACGGGGTCGGCACAGGGGCACAAAATGGTCTGTGTACAGCAATGTAACATCGTCCCGTCCTGGAGGGTCCTAAGGATCTCGGCATAAGAAAGTCAATCACGGGATCAGATCAGTCCAGTCCAAATATGCAGTGTATGGAGTAAGATGGCATAGTGCAAGTTGAAAGAAGCAAGCAGTCCATCTTGGCTGACTCAGATGACTCTTCTTTTTCTGGCAGGCAAGTCCGCTGGCAAGGCACAGCGATGCATTGATGTCGAATGGACTGCCCACGGGATAAGATTGACAGGACAGGAGAATGCTGATGGCTTAACTCCCCGCTGTTAATTTAAGATTAGGTAGGCGTTAAAGCTTAGATCGACAGGCTGTCTGCCCCTAAAGCTTCGGCAATTCCCCAAAAGAGGTGGCTCGTCCGCTGCCAAGTCCCTGTCGGCTACGCTTGACGGCTGGAGCAGCAAAGGTGCAACGACGCACGGCCTCTGTCTGTAAATAGTTAGATTGGCGAGTAGAGACTAGAGAGAGCTGACTGCATACCGAACAGGGAGATGGATAAAAATACCGAGTCCAGACTGCGTGGTTCCTGATTAGATCCGTGATCATTTCCGATGACTGGAGCACGGGGCCAGAAAGACTTCCTCGCGCAGTCACATCGAGATGTCACCTTCCGGTTCAATCAGACCTAAAGATCTTGTGATTAAAAGAAAAGGAAGTGCTCACAGAATAAACTTCTGACATCGAACAAGTCTTCTATTTTCCCTTTCCTGTTGGCATCTGGAGTTCTGATAATTTGTGTTGTTTAAAGATGCACATGGCTGTTAGAAATAAGGAACAGTTTATGTGTTTGCCATATCGGAAGAAATAGGTTAAAAAATGCACCTAGAGAGTAGATGCTAAACACTACCCTTTACAAGAGTACGGTGAAAAAATATGGGTGAAGAGCCGCCTGGGAAGTAAACAATAAAAACTATATAGTAGGAAGTTCTGGGAATAGACCAGGTATTTCTCTCCTCAATTCAGTCGAGAAATGAGAGACCTGTAAGACTTGGGGTTGGTATGGTCTAGAGACAGTCATTGAACGAATCCACCGGCTGATATGTACCTGTAGAAGCTCTCAAAGCTCTGAAAACGTTCCAGGCGTCTCTCTTTCTACGACTGATATCCTCAAGGCGACAATGAAGTCCGCAGTCTCTGCAGAGTGGCGGAACGCTCCAGGGGAAGAAGCAATCCCTGCGGAAGAATATATGGTCCGTATCAAAGCAAAACTGTTCCCCACGTCCTGCGCTCTCCTCGTCATCGTCACTGCTGCATGTTTCCCAGTCGTCAGTTTCTTCGGGCAGGTCCTTGATTTCTTCAGTATCGGTTGTTGGGAGAGAGGTAGCGTCAAGCTCCTCTTCTAGCAAGGTATCTATAGCCGTAACTCCCGACTGTTCTATGGCGAGACACCACTGGAACCATGTGCGTGGGCTGCTTAGAGCAAAGTCTGACGGACTGTGTCCTGCCCAATCCAGCAGACTAGGATCGCATCCAGCTTGCAGGAGAATGATCAGACGGGCCACCAAGTAATCATCGTCTTCACCGACCGATTCCTCTTCAGGGAGACGCCATGTGGCAAATGCGATGGCGAGGTGCAGCGCATTTTCTGCAAAATCTGTAACAGCGTGCGGATTGGCTCCCCACTTCAGCAGTTCTCTGAGGATCACATAACCATGCCATCCTAGAACTGCGGTGTTGTAGAGTAGGGGAGTCAGTCCGTCGGCATTTCGGTGCTCGATATCCGTCCCGAGTCGAAGCAGCATCTCGATCAGGGCACAGATCTCATCTTCACTAATTATACGGGAACCTGCAAGTGAGCGGCTGACGGTAAAATGCAATGGGCTTCCTCCCAAAGAAGAGGCGTCTGGATTGCAGCCAGCTGCCGCAAACGCCCGAAGTAGCCTTTCCGTCGTGTCTTTCGGTATATTGTAGTCGCTATGCCTAAACCAGAATGCATTGCTGAAGTCGTATATTGCGTTTGCGCCGTCCCTAATGCAATGCCATCACTTTTAGTTAAGAGACAAGAAGGAATTGTTTGATTGAAATCGACAAGTTCATTGCCCCCGCGAAGAAAGAGATACTTACCAGCGACAGTTAACAGGGTCAGCGCCTTCCTTCAGAAGCAGTTCGCAAATCTCCACACGAAGGTGTACTGCGGCATACTGATCCAATAGAGTCCCGCCTCAGCGATGTGTACAGAGTCACAATGGGGATGAAATGAGGAAAGAAAGAAATACTGACCGATAAGATGCTTTCATTGTCTATATTGCGATCTCTTGGTGTGGCAATCCTCCTCCTGAGAAGATCACGTAGCCGGACGATATCATTATCCCGAACACACGTAAAGAGTGGGCTCAAAGAATCGACAACTGCGTAGGTAGAGATGTGCCGACAGATTCTTGGCTGTGGAAGCCCATGGTGAGCCCGTGAGAGTGAGACAAAGAGTCCGCTGTCAGCGATACCACGACCGGGCGCGAAGAGAACATAGAGCCGGGAGACTCTGTATTGGCCTGTGGAGTTTTCCTTCTCCCACTCTAGCCTGACGGAGAAATTGCCGACTGGAGTGTTTTTCTGGAGACACCGGTTGCTTGTCTTCCTGCTTGTGTATGCTTCGCTATTGGTCCTCCCATCAAGATTATGACTTATCGACAGAGGTGATGGGGGCGACGTAGAAAGTTCCGGGTTCCTCGCTATTGAACGACCCTTTTGCTTGCTAGATTTGGCTGCTCTTCGTGGAAATCTGGTGGCCGCAGCTGCAGCCTCATGACACGTGGCTAGCAGATCCTCGAATTCTGATCGGATCCATGTTGCATCCTCCACAGAGAGGACCATGCGGTCATGATTCCGAACCATGAATTGTAGCAATGCCTCCCGAAGTTTTGGTTTCAGGAGCATGAGAGGAAGCGTCGCACTTTGCAGCTTCTCTTTCTGGTTTTCCCAGCCATAGGAGACCGCGATTGTATCTCCACCCACTGCACGACCCATAGCCATGAGCTGCTCCGTCATCAAATCTAACTTCGCGTGTATTTGCATCTGAGATTCTATAATTGACTCGGAGGAACGTTCACATTCCTGCGATGCATTATTGATATCCGCCTGTAACCTGTATGACAGGTTCTGGAGACTAGCGTTTGTAGCAACTGTAAAATCCTTTAGACTGCGATCGAGTGATTGAAATCCAGCTTTTGTGTGATGGTCATAGGAGAACACGTTCCCTTTGATCGCATCAAGCTTGTCGGAGAGAGTAAGATCATTGAAGCTAGCGGAGAGCACCTGTATCAGCGCCACACGGATGATTCATTCAATACCTTGGACTAGTTACCTTCCGAGTATCAAAAGATCAACACAAAGCTGGGACTTGTATCTCTCCAGCCTTTCACACGATCGTCTAATCTCCCCATTCATGACCCAGGCGATATTCCCGACTAATCTTTGAGTAGTCTTTGTCCTTGTCCTTCCATTCTTAGTTCGATTCGTGTTGGCAATGATCTCAGAGAGGGTTGCGTATTCGACCTCTATTCTCTTGAGCGTCGAGGTGATACTACGCAGCGCGGAAGAGTCTTCAGAAGCAGTTGACAGTCGATCCAACCGTTTCTTGCAGCATTGTCTTGTACTCAATAGAATACCCTCAATGCCCTGTAGCTCGCCTTGTAGGTCTTTGATCTCCTTCGACGCATTCTTTACAGCCGCTATAAACCCATATATCTCCTTCCCCGCCCTGCACACTACATCAATGAGTCCGATGACAGCGGCTACGTTCGCTGTCGCCGAAAGAGGGTCAGCCATTCTGACAGTTGCTGTACAATCTCAGAAGCTAGCAGTCCTCATTGCTACTGACGTGTGCTAGGGTTCTATGGCAGGCAACGACAACCCGATGGGCAGAGAGGAAGGCTCCAATGCTGGGGACATTATAGCAGTACCGAGTTGATCTCTGGTCGAGAAAATTCTCCGGGCGCTTCTCTCGCATCATGTTGTCGCTCATGCGTTGGCCGTAGCGCCTAAGATGCGGGGCGTTAATCATGCAAGGCTGACTGGCTAACGAGGCTGAGCTTTCCAACTGAAACGCAAGCCTCGGCGCTTACAGCTGGAGATCTGAACCCAAGCTTCAAACAATGCGTCTCGACAAATATAGCCTGTTCAGCCTCAATCGAAATATCAAAATAGACACGATTCTTTTCATTTGGTCGGCAGTGGGAAGACATAACAACATTAATCGTATAAAATAATATATATATACAAATACATATCCATATATACATGAGAGCATCTACTCACAATTTCTGACCATGATCATCGAGCAAATCACTATGACTGTCTAACTCGGACCATTTGGGCTTACCGTCGAGGACTTCAACGACACGTCTGCTGTAAAAGATATGATGGCTGTATTCCAGTTAGCAAGCAGTGCAAAATGATATTCTGGAAACACAACGGATTCACCGACTTGACTTCAAACGCCTTACACCGTGTCAATTGTTCCCCATCGGTGCCTGCCAAATCGATCAGCTCCGGAAACACCAAGCACACGTTGCGACCTTCATCCATGATGGGCGAGTTGCAGTATGAGCAATACACCTTGCACGGCACTTTGTACACTTTTTGCATATCGTGGGACGAGTAGAAGGTCAACCAATCGGTGCCCCGGGTGAATCTGAGGTCAGTCTTGAGGAAGATCGCACACCATTGGAAGGGGGCCGCTATTAAGGCAGATAATTGATTAGCATGTCATGGAGAATTAGGATCTTTGTAGGAGCCTTAGTGCAAGGACATGTTCGTCCTGACAGATGATATGAGAAATCAAACGGACCATGAAGTGCCTGGCAGGCTCTGCAATGACAGAACTTGGCGGCCAAGGGCTTTTCTCTCTGAATCTGGTACTCCACCCTGCCGCAATGACACTTGGCCGTCCACTTGACGGGTCCGAATTCTTCCTTTTGGATCTGGTACGGGGCGCGATACTTCCACGCATCGTCTCCCGATTGTTCGGAACCAAAGGCAGAGGTGCCAGGATAGGGAAAGGGTATATGGTCCGAAGGAATGTCCTCCGCCATCTTCAATTTTGCCTGAATAGTATGTAATATGCTGTAATTGGAAACTTTTTCGTGATCCTCTTGGTGCGCTAGGAAGATTCGGGGAGGTTCACAGTACAGAGGTAGGGCCACGACGTGAATGATATGGAGGATTGTAGCCCGGAAATTGCCAACAGAGGCTGAGTTCACGAAACATTGGATCACCAAGACTCTTCTTGTCCTTTCTATTCAAAGATATCTCGCAGGGGAAGTCCAGTCAACAGATGAGCCTTTGCGCGGAGCTGCTTCATGACGATGATGTCATGTCGATGCATTCAGGCACGAAACAGCATCCATGGATCAGGATCAGCTCTGCACGTGGGATGGGAGGTTATTTGGATGATCCATCCAATCTTCTATCGAGTCCACCGGCCTTTTGGGTCGCAACCCCAACAGACCATTGTTAGACTTCGTGTCGCACAACTTGGGAAAATGGGAAATGATCTGAAGAATGGATATCTCGAGGTCGCTTCATTGCTGATGGAGGGTGTACTCCGTAGTGCCGTGTCCATCCACATGACTGGCACGTGAGTCAGGAAAGACGGACTGCATGGAGCAGCCCATCAGCTTTTTGCGATTAATAATTGACTCTTCATTCGCTCTTCACTCCACTTCGTGGATGCAAGCAGAGAGATATCGGAGAGAGATATCGGCTCCGAGTAACGATTCGTGGTGTGCATTGGATCGTGGATGCAGGCCAAGACTGAGATCTGCGATGAGCAAGACTGGACTATGCAGCAGGCTCGCAGTTATCAATCACTAAACGAGAACGAGGGCACAGTGCTAGAATATAGATGAAACAACGCAAGAGAACTAAGTATAGTAATATTTAATAATAATCAGGGCAGATAACTATCCGCGTCCATCCCTGCCGTAAGCGCTGACAGGTCCAATGGCTGTGGCGGTGGGCGAATCCGATCGTCTCCTGAACCCCCGCACTCCAGCCCAACAGAGGCGCCAAGGGTGATCCCTTTGTTGTCGGAGGCTATCCAGGCTTGTGCGTCTCCATCTGGAGCTGCAGCCGCCTTGCCTATGCAAGTGTGAATGAAATGGATACAGACGGCTGTCCTGCCCGCCTTTTTACCATGCCAGCCGCCTCCCTCGCTGATGGCGGGACCCAGCCAGCACCTGAATGAATAAAGAGCACAACCACCGCCGTCCTCACGGGATTCACACATTCCTCCCTGCTTTTCTCTCCATGCAGCTCTGCAGTCCCTGTAGTCGGTCGGGACACGCTGACCATGCGATTCCTGAAGCACATCCGCGACCGCTCCCGCAACAAGAGTGCGGACCTGCGCAATAGCAATCACCACCATGGCAGCCCTGGACATCCACGATCCTCCTCCCTATCGCCACCACCAGGTCTCGACTACACCAGCCGACTTCCCCACCATGTCCTCGCCAAGATCTTCTCCTACGTCTGTCCTCATGCGCTCGATGATTCCTACAACTCGTCAGAAGAGTCCATGACCGAGAATGGGTGCATGCTGTGTGACATGCGCGACCTCGCGCATTGCGCTCTGGTCTGCAAGCGTTGGTTCCACCAGGCACAGCCATTGCTGTAAGTTTTCATTGAATCGTCTACGCATGCCAACATGCTGAAGTATAGCTGCTCCTCTCAGCTACCGGCATGTCCGGATCGACCCGGTCCACTACTGCGAACTCGAGCTCGAGCTCGCCGAAAGACGCAAACATCGCTCATTCTTTGACCGCAACGGAGAGCCAGTCGATGTCCCTAAGATACGACTGATGCTGTTTATGAGGACCGTGAGAGAGTCGCAGAAACTGGCCAACACAGTCCTCTCACTGCGGATGCCGTACATGACACGAGAAGCAAGCAAAGCAGAACTCGCGCGGACAGTGTCAGTCTTGCCAAATCTGCGTTACGTGGACCTTCCGTCCGGCTTTTATAGTGACGATGCGTCATCCTACACCTTGAAACAGGAGTTGATGGCTCGATGTCCAGACATACGGAGGATGCGATATGCGCATGGCTCGGAAGGGAGCTTTTCGCGTCTTCCCGGATCGCAGCTCTGGGTGAATCTGGAAGTCCTCGAGGTGTCAGGTTTACAGGGCGAGGAGAGCATGCTGCGCATGGCGCTTCATTCCTTCCCTGCTCTACGGAGCTTGAAACTGGAGGATCTTCCGTGGTTGGGAGATTCAATTTTCGCCCCGATTAAGACCCTGCCTCCGTTTCCACCACTTCAGCAGCTGACTCTCCACAACATACCAAATGTCACGGCGAGCGGGCTCGCCAGCTATCTCTGTGTACCGAAGAATCGAGATACCCTGAATAATCTGACCGTATCCAACACTGGGGTGCTTCCCCAGTCGTTGCACATGGTCCTTTCGAAAGCGCCACATCTGCAACACGTATCCATCTTCCAGGATGTAGACCGGTCTTTCCCCGTGGAGAATGTTCCTCCTCTATCCTCCAAAAGTCTGAAATCGATGCATTATGAAATCACGTCCGAAAATCAGTCGTACGGTCTGCAGCCGGTCTCAGCGTCCTATTATACGTACCTGATGTCCTCTCTCCTGTCCAACTCGCTCCCGGCTCTGCGCAAACTCTACGTTCGCGACGCCGGTTTCCCCGAGACCTTGCTCCTGAGTCCACCCCCACGCCTCTTCGGCGGCGGTGAGAGCGGGCCTCGACCGAGAAGAATGGGGTTGCAGCAGCCCCTGTCGCTATACAGCAAAGGGATGGACGAGTTGGAGTGGAATTATACTCACTTTGAGCCTGAGGCGACAGGTCGACCGAGCACCCCGACTCGACCGGCGAGTTTGCACGAGGCGCAGCTCAGCCCGAGTTGGGGTGGAGAAGCTCGAAAGAGCATGATTGTTGGGAATGGGTTTGGAGGGTTCTTGGCGGTTCCTGTCGACGAGGGACGGCCGAAGAGCAGTGGTGGATACAGACGAGACAGCAAACATGACTTGTGGAGATAGCAGTATGACTGCAGCAGAATGAGGATCTGCCTGTGAAATCAGTCTGATCATATGTATGGATACACCGTCAATATTCGGATATACCCAGGGAAATAAATTTACTTCGGGGTTTGTGCAACGACTATCAGACAGAAATCAGAATGCAATCAGCATAACCTAGCATACCTGCTGTTCTAGCAAGCCAAAAACCGTAGGCATGGATATCCGTCAAGACTCACACTGAATCTATTCAGTCTGTAGTTAACAACCATTTAGCCTAACCGCCCCTGATTCCAATGTCCCAAGTACAGTACATACATACATTTTATCTACCTTACCTAGAAGGTATTGTAATGTATCCATGTACATACATACATAGGTTCCTACATGGACCCTGGCTTAGGTATGTACTGTACTGTACATACCTAAAGTTTGATGACATTTAACTTTCAGCATGTGGCAGCAGAAAGAAAAGCCCATGCGTCATATTTTCCACCATACAGAGTTGAATACATAACTCAGATACTAGGTACTGCCGAGATACTTACTGCCCGAATGCAACGTTGAAGTACGGCGAGCTACTTAACCTATACGGACTGTACGTACGTAACTTCCACAGTTACTGATTCGATTCACAGAATTAATTAAGTAATTAATTAATAATGATTTCCTCGGTGTTTAAGATCGGGTCTTGACGCCACTGATGCTCTGTTAACGCCACTGGAGCTTCTAATTTCTATGTGTGTCTGATCTCTATGTACTGTACAGTACGTACGTAACATCTTCACAAACTGATTATATGTATTTTCTTTTCTTCCTGTGGTTGTCTGTGCCTATGTCTGTGTCTCTTTGTTTGCTTGTCTATCATAGAGAGCTACAGGAAAAACCGTATAATCAAAGACTTGGTCACGACAAGAGCCGTATTACAGTAAAAGTAAGAAAGCAGGAAAGCAGTCGATTATGTAAAGTACAGTAAGCACATGTCCTCTATGTATGTACTACTCGGGCCGTACTCCGATACCCTCGTACATATGTCCGTGCGAGCGACGATCTCCTGCCTTCCTAGGTATTAGAATTTCCCCGCATCTCGGAGTAATTTAGCATTTAGCATTATTATCCGCTGTCTGTTTACTTATGATGTAGCTGGGGAGGGGGGCCCATGTGTTACTCCATATAGCAGCTGATTTATTCCGTTCGTATCCTCCACATGGCAAAATCTTCCATTATTGGCACATAAACCCTGCCCAAGAGATGGGAAGATATTGGATGAGGGGTGCGAGTGGAGTGGTGGAGTTATTTACCTTGATCAGATATAGTCATACATACATCTACCTAGGTACATGCCCATGCGAGTATATCCAATAGTAAGGTACAGACACGAGAATAGGAGTATTAATTTAAAACAAGCAATATTCTTTTTTCTATTCCCCGCAATTCTAGCTAGTTCTAGATTGCTAGAGTACATACCTATATATATATAGGCATGGAGAGCTCTGCTTGATCTGATCTCCTCTCTTCGAGTGTCTGCCCATTCATCAAAGTCCAAGTTGAATTGGCTTACTTCCTTGACAGCACTCAGACTTGCCTACTTACCATGCTTTATCGTGCTACTACTACTGCTGCCGCCGCCGCGGCGGCAGCGTTATTACTGTCTCCATTGCCAGGAGTCGAGGCCCTCGTGAGGCCTGATGGAGTGGTATGTTTCCTGAGTCTAAATACACATCCGTATCCGTGCATGGCTAACCTGGATCTGTTAGGGAAAACTACCTGCTCTAGGCTGGAACTCGTGGAACGCATTCGGCTGCCACATCGACGAGGAGAAAATCCTGACTGCGGCAAACCAGATTGTCAACCTTGGTCTGAAGGACCTGGGGTATGAATACGTGAATAGTGAGTCCAGTCCCCTTCCCCCAACTGGGTTCTATACTGACGTATGCAATCAATCGATAGTCGACGACTGCTGGTCCGTCAAGAGCGGCCGCAATGCAACGACTGGCCGGATCATGCCTGATCCGACCAAGTTCCCTGACGGCATCAGCGGTCTTGCGGACAAGATCCATAATCTAGGGCTGAAGATTGGGATCTATAGCAGTGAGTTGCAAGATTGCCATTCGACGGACTTCTTCAGGGTAGCTGATATTGATGACATTAATTTCTAGGCGCCGGATGGACAACCTGCGCGGGCTATCCAGCCAGTCTGGGAAACGAGACGATTGACGCAGAGACGTTTGCTGAATGGGGGATTGACTGTACGATATCACCTTTCTTTCTTCCTCTTGAACCAAGATTCTCCAAGATTCTCTACTGACCACTGGACGGAAAAATAGATTTGAAATACGACAACTGCGGCGTCCCCCCCGACTGGCAGGATCAATATTCGTACTGCGTCCCAGACTCAGGCAACCCTGCCACAAACCCCAATGGCACCTGTCCCAATCTCCAGAACCCCGCGCCGCCAGGATACAACTGGAGCACGTCCAAGACGGCGGAGCGGTACCGCCGGATGAGAGACGCCTTGCTGGGCGTGCAGGGCAAGCGGACGATCCTCTTCTCGCTCTGCGACTGGGGGCAGGCAGATGTGAACGAATGGGGAGCGCAGACGGGCAACTCGTGGCGCATGTCGGGTGATATTTCTCGTAAGAACGCCCTGTTATAGTACGGCAAATTTCTTGGAAACAGTCATGGCTAATACCTCTACTTCGTCTAGCCAACTGGCATCGCATCTCCACCATCGCCAACCTCAACAGCTTCGAACTGAACTCGGTCGACTTCTGGGGCCACAACGACCCGGACATGCTCGAGGTCGGAAATGGCAATCTGACGCTGGCCGAGAACCGGGCGCATTTCGCTCTGTGGGCGGCGATGAAGTCGCCTCTGATCATTGGGACGGCGGTATATCCATCCCCCATTCCATCCATATATATACGGACAAACAAAAAAATATCATGCTAACATATTTTTTTTGTTACTCACAGCTCGACACAATCAGCCAAGACCACCTCTCCATCCTATCAAACAAATACCTGCTGAAATTCCACCAAGACCCGCAAATCGGCCGCCCCGCATACCCGTACAAATGGGGGTACAACCCAGACTGGACGTTCGACCCCTACCACCCGGCCGAGTACTGGTCCGGGCCGACCTCGAGCGGCGACGTGCTCGTTCTGATGCTCAACACCGAGGACGGGCCTGCGAATCGCACTGCGGTGTGGAGTGAGGTGCCCGAGTTGAAGGGTCGGACTAATAATGGGAGAAGTACCGGATTCCAGGTCACGGATGCTTGGACGGGAAAGAGTCTAGGCTGTGTGAAGGGTGGATACAGTGTTGAGCTTGAGAGTCATGATGTTGCTGTGTTGGTCGTGTCGGGTGAATGTTGAGTTAGTTCGTGACCTGATGAGATGTGCGTAGCCAGGGCTGGAATATAGTATAGTATTGTAAAGCATGTACCATCCATATCAAGTCATGCCAATAATTGATCAATTTCACCTACTTACGATCAACTACGAACAAACATCACATTGAGCTGAAAGAAACCCATATTCATGCGAAATCATGAGGATACAAACAATAACACCAAGATAATAGCACATTGTCATAAAAAGAAAGGGCATTTATTCACCTGTTTTCCCCGTCCAATTGAGTTTTCATGCCTGGAGCTTTGCTTTCTCCGAATGCACTGCACTGCTCTACCTCATCCATCCCATCCACCTGAGACAGGATTGATGTGCTGGGTATCAAGGACTGGAAAGCTGCGGACTCCGTACAGTACAAAAAAAATGTCGTGGGTATGTATATTTCATTCTGGCTGCTGTTTGCAAATCGAATATCTGACGGTCAGGTCTTGTCAGTTACGTTTGCCTTATTTTGAAAAATAAAAATTACATCAATTCCAAGATGCAACCACTCACTCTTTAGGTAATGCCCCCATATCCTCCACGCTGTTCCTGACCCTGTTCATTGCATGCGACTCGGAAGGTTCCATGAAGCATTCCTATCGCCACGAACGCTGCTGGCGCGCTGGCACGCAGCGGGATAGAGAGCCGTCACCGAAGGTATAGCGCGTCGAAAATCAACTACGTGACGTAAATTATGACAGGAGATCGGCAACTACATTCGTTAGTATCACTGAGCACGCAGAAGACTAATGATAAAGGGCATACCGTTCATCGGCATCTCATCGATCTGAGTAGAGTAGTAAAGCTCAATGTCACGGAGGATTCTCACGTCCTCGCTCGTAACAAAGTTAATGGCAACACCCTTCCGGCCGAACCGACCGCTTCGACCGATTCTGTGGATGTAGTTCTCACGGTTGCTGGGCAGATCGTAGTTGATGACCAGAGAGACCTGCTGCACATCGATACCACGGGCCCAGACGTCGGTGGAAATGAGCACACGAGAGTTGCCCTGTCGGAAATCCTGCATAATACTGTCACGCTCCTTCTGCGGCATCTCGCCGTGCATGCTGGAGACCGTGAAGTTCGCCTCGCGCATCTTATCGGTGAGCCAGTCGACCTTGCGACGGGTGTTGCAGAAGATGACGGCTTGAGTGATAGTTAATGTATCGTAAAGGTCGCACAGTGTATCGAACTTCCACTCCTCTTTCTCAACTGCAATAAAGTACTGTTTGATACCCTCCAAGGTCAATTCATCACGCTTGACCAGGATGCGCACTGGATCCGTCATGAACTTGGTGGTCATGTCGAGGACATCGTACGGCAGGGTGGCCGAGACGACCACAACCTGCGTCGCAGGTGGAAGATAGCGGTACACGTCGTAGATCTGTTCGCGGAATCCTCGGTTCAAGAGCTCATCAGCCTCGTCAAGAACGAGCATCTTAATGTTCCGAGTCCGCAGATGACGACGGCGAATCATGTCCGCCACTCTCCCAGGGGTACCCGAAACCACATGCTGGCCATATTCCAGTTTTCGGATGTCTTCGCCCACGTTGGTTCCACCAATGCAAGCGTGGCATTGTACGTTCATGTAGTCGCCAAGGGCCATGATAACGGACTGGATCTGAGTCGCAAGTTCGCGGGTGGGAGAGAGAACGAGAGCTGGAAAAATTTCGTTAGGACAGGACAGACATAAAACAAGTACTGACGACATACCTTGAGTTTCGCGAACAACGGTGTCAATCACCTGAAGGATACTGATCGCGAACGTCGCCGTTTTACCAGTACCGGATTGCGCCTGGGCGATGGTGTCGCGACCTTTGCAAATCTGCACAATAGCGCGGGACTGCACCGCAGAGGGCGACTCGTATCCATACGCATAGATGCCACGAAGAAGATTCTCCTTCAGGTGCATGTCCTCGAAGGTGGGAGCCACCGTGACCTCCTTCGAGGTCGTAAACTCCAGCCGTTCTGGTCCAAGTCAGTACGCGAGTCGGGGAATAAGGGCAATCTGCATCATCCTCACCATCTGCGCGTCGGTCAATTCCGTCAGCCATGATGAGCGCTCTTCTCCGTCGCGAAACAGCCTGAAATTGACAAAAATTAAAAGAATGTCGGCTCTTGCTGTCCTCCTGGAATCCTGCGTGTCGCGCTGACTTTTTGTCTGGTTCCTTGGCCCGAGCGCCACCGGCTATCATCACGTGACCATCCTCCAGAAAAGCTCTAGCTAGCGGTAATAGAGGACCCTCCGCATCGAGTGGCCAAAAGTCAACTGCAGTGAGCTTGCGCCGAAAGTGACGCACTCGACAGATCCAACATGTTGCTCGAAGATCAACGGTTAATCCATGAGGATCTAGAGCGGTTGGAGCAGGGGATCGCTGATCGCGTGGCTGAGGAACCGCGAAATGTACGTCCCGACCAAAACGAAATCTACCAGTGCCATACTGACAATATATGACCTCGCAGATTCGCGAACGATTGGCGCGTGATCATCAGATCGCTGGGTTTTTGAACCGTATTGAAGAGCAGTCGAGAAGACTATTAGACATCTACAAAGATGCCGAGGGTCTCAGGGCGGCGGAAGTGCAGGCCATTTCGACAGGCGACCCGTTTGAAGAATTTTACAAGCGCCTAGAGGAGATCAAAGACTTCCATAAGAGGTACCCGAATGAGCCGGTAGAGAATCTCGAACGAGCCTACAAGCGGCGGAATCCCCCAGAAGGCGAGCCTTTCCTTCCCGACATCGATTCCATGTTCACTGGCGAGGAGGCGTACGGACAGTTCCTGGATCTCACCCAGCTGCATGAGGAGTATCTGAACCTGCCGGGCGTCAAACGACTCACCTATATCCAATATATTGACATGTTCGATATCTTCACACCGCCTCAGCTCCCCATCAAAAGGAGCAACAAGTTGTCAGACAAGTACTTTAAGTACGTTGGCGACTTGGCGGCATATCTGGAAAGTTTCATCAAGCGGGTGAGGCCCTTAGAGGACCTGGACAAGCTCTTTGCTAGCTTCGATGAAGAATTCGAGAAACAGTGGGCCGCAAACGAGGTTCCAGGCTGGGGTGTAGAATCTGTTCCGAATGGCCCTGTTGGACCGAAAACCGAAGGGACTGGACAAGGGATCTGGTGTGCAGATTGTGAAAAGGAATTCTTGAATGAGAATGTCTACAAAAGCCATCTTAACGGCAAGAAGCACATCCGTGCCGCAGAAGCTAAGAAGGCCAACGGAACTTCTCAGACTGCTCTTACAAAGCCTGTATCTGCTGTCGATGCTTCACTGAAGTCGCTGAAAGAACGGGCAGTCGCCGAACGTGAGCATCGGATCCGATCACTGGCGAAAGCGCTTCAGTCGGAGCGTCAAGCCACACGAGTCAATGTCGAGCGGAAGCAGGGTATGACGGAGCGAGAGCGCCAAATGGAGATCGAGGCTCTGATGGCGGAGGAACCCTCAGCAGGGGGTCGCCGTGACGATGAATCGGAGAGTGAGGGAGAAGAGAAGATCTACAATCCGCTTAAGTTGCCGCTTGCCTGGGACGGCAAGCCCATTCCATACTGGCTCTACAAATTGCACGGGTTGGGCGTGGAGTTCCCCTGTGAGATCTGCGGTAATTTCGTGTATATGGGTCGCCGCGCTTTTGACAAACATTTCGGAGAAGCAAGGCACATCTACGGTTTGCGGTGTCTGGGAATCACCTCGCAAACCAACCTGTTCCGCGAAATTACCAAGATCGATGATGCCATCAGACTGTGGGAGAAGCTCGAGAACGACCGCAAAAAGGAAAGAGAAGAACGCGAAAATGTGGTACAGATGGAGGATGCCGAGGGTAATGTCATGCCAGAGAGGATTTATAACGAGTATGTCCCTTGTTATTTCCTTTCAAGATGGGACCATATGCTGATGCTTGAACAGTCTGCAAAAACAGGGAATTCTCTGATCAACGGTTGTATAGTTGCTTCCCACACTATAGTCATCTTGCCCTCTGCCCGGTTATGCGTGTAGTTGTGTGGGATACCTTGGAGTTCGGCGTCCAGATTCTTTATGCTTTCACATTAATGGTTGGGCTTTGGAATTGGGGAAACTCGGGCTTGTGGATGCATCGTAATTATGAGCAGCGCTGTTATATGTAACAGAAATGTATTTTAAAACGAATAGATTTCTGCATTTCACTACTACTACCATTATTCAGTCTGGTGGCAGTTCCTTCTGTAGTAATATGGATCACGTGTTTTCGTGAACCATGGACGCGGCTGGGTCTAGCCATACTAACACGTATCGCGTCAGTCCCCTGCCCCTCCTTTGCAAATCTGTGTTACTCCCTTCCTAGTCATTTTCGTCATTCGAATACTTTCTGAGCGCCAGTATCGTTTTGGTGTATAGCTTCAGCCATTGGCGTCGTCAGTACGCATTGGAGTATCAACATCTAATCATGCTCACCCTGCTATATGTGACTGTTCGAGATCAAGCGATGGGATGGGTTTCAACTTCTCCTACTTGTGCGATCTTCTCTCCAGTCTCGAGGATAATCAATATTTGAAAGCTTCGACTGCCGCAAGGACCAGCGATCCAGATATTCGTACCGTGTCTAATTGGTTTCGTAACCATTCAAAGCGGATCCATGCTCACGATACAGATCTGCTGGCCTTCCTCTCCTGCCTCTTTCCCGAAAGGCGAACGGACCGTGTCTACTGGTTGCAGCATGCCTCTCTGGCCAGAGTAATCGCTCGTTGCCTACTTCTGGGTGTCTCCAGAAGGGAAGAGCTTGACCGTTGGCGACAAAGTGGGGGAGAAGACCTGGGTCAATGTGTCGAAAATGTAATGCGCCAAGCGGAGAACCAAATTCTCCCCGGCCAGGAGGTCACAGTAGAAGAGATTGATGATGCACTCAATCGAATCGCATCTCGATGTCGATTTTCTGGCCCTCGAGTTCGCAGACAGCATACCGCCGTCGACGTTGATGAGGCCCTTGGATCCCTATACCGAAGGTTGAACGGTCGGGACGCAAAATGGCTCACTCGGATGATATTGAAGTCATACTACCCGGTTGTGCTGCCTGTCGATTTTGTGCTGAGGAACGTCCATTTTCTCCTTCCGCATCTGCTCCTCTTTCAGGACTCGTTGGAGGCAGCCGTGAATTTGCTGAAAGGAACTCCCTTGAGGCTCTTTCCACCACGTGCACAGCCAGACGTGGTGAAGATCCTCAATGAAAAAGCTCTTGAACACCTGGCCCCGCGAGTTGGCATCAAGATAGGGCGTCCAGAGTTCTATAAGGCTAGGAGTATCAAGCATTGCTGCAAGATGATAGGACGACGCCGGATGAGTCTCGAAAGGAAGTACGACGGAGAGTATTGCCAGATACACATCGATCTGTCGAATCCACAAAACTTTATTCGCATCTTCTCCAAAAGTGGCAAAGACTCCACTGCTGATAGGGCGGGCATCCATAGTATCATAAAACAGTGTCTTAGAATCGGGGAGCCTGATTGCAAGTTCTCGCGTCACTGCATTTTGGAGGGCGAGATGCTCGTATGGAGCGATAAGGATGGACGGATCCTCGAGTTCCATAAGTTGCGCAAGTTCATAACCCGATCTGGTGTATTTATTGGGGCGGATTATGATTCTCAGTAAGTGTGCGGAATATCCAGAGTTGATCAGTCATGAGCTGACTGCCTAGACCAAAACCGTATGAACATCTGATGATAATGTTTTTCGACATCCTCCTGCTGGATGACAATGTCTGCCTGTCCCAGCCACACAGAAATCGTCGCCTATTGCTGAAGGACACAATCAAGGTAATACCTGGACGTGCTGATATCGCTGAACAAGAGATCATTGATTTTTCACGTCCTGATGGTCAAGAACGACTTCGAAGGGCCTTTTCTAGAAGTATTGCTGAGCGATGGGAGGGATACGTCTTGAAAGCATGCGACGAACCGTACTTCGCCATCCTCTCATCAGACACGGATGACGGATTTTGCCGTTGGATTAAGCTCAAGAAAGACTACATTCCTGGTCTAGGTGACACTGCTGACTTTGCTCTCATTGGCGCAAGATATGAGTCCAGGGATGCTGCGGCCTTGAAGCACATTAGAAATCTGTCTTGGACACACTTTTATATTGGCTGCCTGGAGAATAAGAGTGCTGTAAAGCAATTCAGTGCGAGACCAAAGTTTCGAATTGTCGATGTGATCGGCCGTCAAAGTCTGAATGCAACGGACATGCAAGTTCTGAATCACTGGGGTCAGTTCTATGCATGCGATCCAGATTACAACTCCACGTTTGAGATACACACTATCCACACAGAGCTGTCAAACATGGACGTTGTCTTTAAGACGCCATTTGTGGTGGAGGTGTTAGGAAGTGGGTTTGACAAACTATCGAACACACAGTATTTCACACTGCGTTTTCCACGCGTCTTGAAGATCCATTGGGATCGAACATATGAAGAAACAATCTCTTTCTCAGAGTTGCAGGATCTAGCAGAGAAGGCTCGTTCTGTATCTGCAGAAGAGCTATCACAGGAAGATGCATTCTGGTCTGAACGGATCAAAGCAGTGGATGGGAAATCAGATTATATCGTGGATAAATCCCAGAGCAGCGCTACGACTAGCCCTAGATCTACATCAACAATGCTATCTCCGCAATCAGGGCAGAAAACAGTCGGATCAAATGTTCCTCCGCCTCTGCCTGCCACAGAAGTTATATCACATGTCCAGGTACCTGCTATCAAACAGCATAAACAGCACTCACAACACTCTCTTGATGATGCAACGCGACGCGCCACAAAGCGACGCGTCTCATCACATAAAGGGGATGTTGTTGTCCCACGGTTGTGCAAGAAACCCAAGGTCTTCACCATACCCACAGGTGCCATTCCAATCTTCATCGATAGCACCCAGGCAACATCACCAACTCCACAAGACCTTGACGACTCGAGCCGCTTCTTGAAAGATCTTGGCGGCAATATGTCGTCTCAACAGAGCGGTGCTGTGCCAAATGAAATGAGTACAATCAATCCTAGTTCAGTCTCCTCTGTCCAAGATGAAAACCAGGTCAAGGATGTTCATAGAAAAGAGGACTCGGTCCCAGAGAAAGCACCTCCGGTCCAAGAGAAAGCACCTATCGAAACTGAGGCCGTCATGTCCTTGGGATCTGACGAGCAGGAGGAAACAGTGATCGCAGAGGAACGCTCGTCAAATGAAAATATCGAATCGAGTCAAGCAACCTCGACGTTTCCTGAAGAACAAAAGCATCCAGAGATCGACCTCCAGTCGCCTCTCGTGACTCTTCCGGTGTACTGTGGAAAGTTCTTCTTTGCCAACCCTCGTCAGATCGAGAATATCTTCCGCGGACATGCCCGGGAATTTACATTTGCTGTCTGCCACTTCGTCGAGTCACTTGGGTTTCCTCGTTACAGGGATGCACTCATGAACTCAAACCCCGACGCTGTGGCCAAGGATATTGCCCTTGGCATTGTCCTGGTCGACTCTCGAGCCAAGGTCAGTGTTGTCGCCAAGGAAATCTTTGAAGTGGGCAACGAAGTCGCGAACACCATCAAGTCCGGCTGGCCAGAGCTCCCATCCAAGGGCAAAATCTTCTTCCTGAACTGGCACATCCTGCAAGCCGGGACCGGCGTCGAAGACCGCAACTGGTGTCTGAAATCTCGCTGGGCGGAAGTCGCTAAGAGCTGTTTCCAGGCCTGCATCTCTTGGGGCTACGGACTGCCGGCAGATGTCGCAGAGCGGAGGAAGATCGAAGCAAGCCGAGTCCGTCTGGATGACGAGGACCGTGACCGGCTAGTCGGCACCGATGTGATCACTCTTTGGGATTACAAGGAGCTGGAGATTCTGGGCGAATTCGTTTCGATCGAGCCTCTGATTCACGTTTCGGGGAAGAAATACGAGGATACTCGGTTCTACACTTGAATGACGACCGCAGACGAGAGCAGCATGCGAATGACAACTATGCAGTTATGACTTAATGGTTACGACTGACGACTGATGTCTTTGTTTTACTCGGTATTTTATGCACCAGACTGGTCAGGATGTTTTACCACTGCTCACAGGCTTGGCACGGAGAAGGTGGATTTGGCTGTGACTGCTATTATCACTATGGAGTTGGTCTGGGTTCGGTCTGGGTTTGGTCTGGGGTCCTTCCTTTCTTGTTCCATGCTTGTACGATAGGTTTCAGCTTTAATAAGTAGCAGCAATGATCACAATGATGCAGTTTGAGACAGTCAAATTACTGTTGCCTATGGAGAACGGGAAAAAAAAAGAAATCCAGAGAAATGTCCTGCTTATGTGCTCCGTCCACTAATGTATGCATGCAAATACGCTAATTAAAGGTGATGGATATATAATAGTAATCATGCTGACAGTCAGGTCAACCCTTCTATTTTCCTGTACCTCCAAAGACGCCTATCCCATATCGCCTGGAGAATAGACTGAAGAATAGACACATGATACAGATGTAATCATATGATTAAGAAATAAAAAAAGAATACGCTTTTATTGCCCTTTCACTGTTCTTGTTTTCAAGTCAACTACCCCCCTCCTTCCCTCCTCGCGCGGACATCCCTCATCAACGCCTTCGCCTCTTCGACTTCGATCCCATCTTGACACAGTTCGCCCGCGAGCTGGTCTGCCCTCGCCAGATCGCCGTGTCGAAGCGCCCAGCGGGCGAGCCACAGCCGAGCCTTGGACGTCGTGGCTGTGACGCCGGTGCCGCCGACGGCTTCGGTCTCGTCGTTTTCGTACTGTTGTTGGCGGTGGCGGCGCCGATGGTCTCCTCCGCCTTCGGTGGTGTCGTCATCTGAGGGTGGTCGGTCGTTGTTGTTGACGTTGTTGTCGTCGTCGGAATCTGGCTCGGGACGGTCTATCTCGCCGGTTTCTTGCTGCAGCGTGAGTTCCATGTATGCCGCTGCTTCGTCCTCGTCGCCTAGCCGTTCGTATAGAGTCGCGATCTGGTAGAGGGTTTCAGGGTCGAGGATCTTGCGTCCTGGACCAGCGCCGCCAGCGCCAACTCCTGATTGTGAGGCACCGCCCGCGTCGACCCCCGAGCCGGACTCGTAGTACGATCCCGCCACCAGGGCGCGTTTCAGCGCCTTGATGCTCTGTTCCAGACGGCCCATTTTGGCGTAGCATGAGCCCACGGCTTGCCACATTTTCGGGTCGTAGGGTCGCAGAGCGGCGGCGCGCTGGTAGTAAAAGAGAGCGTAGAAGGACATGTCGAGCACCTCGTAGGCTTGTCCCAGCCCGTACCAGGCACGGTAGTCCTTGCGGTTGACGTCAACCGCGCGGCGATACGATTCGATCGCTGCGTGGGTGTTCTTCATCTCGATGTATTCGTGGCCCATCAGCGTCCAGGCAGAGAGGAAGTTTCGGTCCAGGGTGAGCGCGCGACGGAAGTACATCACGGCCTTTTCGTGCTCGGACTTGAGGGAGTAGTAATTCCCTACCACGCAGCACGTCTCGGGACGGAACTTGTCGGTTGCTGTCGCTAGCTGAGCGATGAAGGCCAGCTGGGGCCGAGCACCCATGACGTAGAGGATGTTGGAGTAATGATCGAGGCTGTCGAGACGGTGTGGGTTAGAGATCAGAATCTCCGCAAAGATACTCGAAGCCTCTTCAAAGTCTAGAATTGAGTCAGTGGACAAGAAAAGTAACGGGATGACTGGGAGGAATGGTCGGACCTTTTGAGTGATAGTAGAGAAGCGCCCGTTGCGTCTTCAGAAACGAGCTGTTCGGGAAGATCGCCTCCAGCTCGGTCAGCGTTTGATGCGTGTCCTCCGTCGCTTGATACAGCTCCTGGCTACAGTATATATGGAAAATCAAAGTCATGATATTTTGCGGCAGCAAATCGGCGATTTTCTTCAACTGTTGCCGGCTTAGCGTTGAAAGGACTCATTCTAAGGGTTTGGGTAGGGCTTACATCTTCAACGTTTGACAACAGGTCGTTCAGCTCCTGCCATGCGCCCCAATTGTATGGATAGAGATGGACGCTTCGTATCAGCCATTTCTTGGCCTCTTCCTCGTTTTTGCCTTTGAGAAGGATGATGCCATAGAGATACTCTAGCCACCCCTGGCTGCGATCTTCCAAGCCCTGCTCTCTCCGCTCCGCGAAATATCCTTCCAAACCCCGGGCCAGGTCGGGAAGCTCGCGATTGACGGTCATTCCTCCGTCTGCTGGTCCCAGGACCATCTCCGTCTCTTCCTCCTTGCGCTTCTCTCCAGCTAGGTATTTGGCGTACAAAGCCAGGAACAGTGATTTCTGGCTCAGCCGCGGATATGGGTTCTTCGACGTCGAATTCCCTTTTGAGCCCGCAAACTGCGAGCCCTTGTTTGGCCCCTTCTGAGGGGTCAATGATGTCCTGCTCTTGGCATTGGGGGAGACAGAAGAGAGTGGAGCGGGAGGTATCGTAGGTGGGAGGAAGACTGCGGCGCAACGGTCATATTCGCGGGTATCAAAGTATGACTTTGCAAGGAGGTATTTATGAGCTTCCTGCGCCTCAAGCGCAGCTTCGACAGGGTCCTGCTGACGGAGGAAAGGATTCACGGGGGGCGGGGGAGGTTCGGCCATATCCATGGGAGAATCAGGATCGGTGTCGGAGCCGTCAATAGGCACTAAAGCATCCAGCATTTCTGCTGCCCTGTGAGGAGTTCAGTAATTGACAATGACAAGAACGAGAGCTGGGACGAGACCATTTCGCTGACTGGTACAGACAGCGCTCTGAACACTTGACCGCCGCATCCTCGAGGTGGAATCGCAGCTCCTTGATGTTCTCCTCCGTGAATGTCACAGCCATGGTAATCGCGATACGGCCAAGCGGCCTGTGTCTGAAGCGAAATCCGAATCACCGTTATCAGTCTAGTCGAGCGATTATACGGAGCTGTGAATTCGCATTCCTTGGCTGGGCGCGTTGGGTTGCTGCAAGCTGCGAGGCCTGTGCAATTGCAGCGGTTTTCGTATGAAGTGAGCCGTTATGCCTTTGACAAGATCATCTAAAGTTTTTCAGGATGCAATAAATGACCATTAATGCCTGTTCGGTCTTTGAGAGTTGCCAGACTAGCTCTGCTGATTCTGCGGCGCGATGGCAGTCCCACGCGTCTTGTCCGCTCGGAGAACGATCACTTGCGGAGTTGCAGCGACACCCAACAGCCCGCCCAGCAATCCCACACAGACCACCGATGCGAGTTTCCAAATCTAGTATTGCAATTATGGCCTGCGTGCGACTGACTGGTAGAGACCTGGCAAAAAAAATAAACAGCTGTTGCAATTGCAGACCGCACGCAGGCGACTGTTTTGAGCAAACAGAGCAAACTCGTCCGGGGCCCCTCACCGCTTGCATGAAAAAAGGAGATAGGCCTGCAACCCCACTTGGCAGACGCTTGGGATCCCTCGTCGCTCCAAATAAATAAATATCGCCTGAATTGCGAATTGAGGATTTCCTTTCCTCGTCCCGTCGCTTGATCCCGCGTCTTCCTTTATATTCCCTGACAATGGCGTCCACCACCAAGCGTGCCGATTTTGAGGCCGTCTTCGCTCCCCTGGCTCAGGAGATCCTGGCTGCCGCCAAAGGGTATGGAGTCCCCGAGAATGCCCTGCAGTGGTTCGAGAAGGTGATGTCGCTCTGGATTTCTCTGTCTCCACGTTGTCATGTTTTCTGACAGATATTCTGCGTGGCAGTCCCTCAATTACAATGTCCCTGGCGGCAAACTGAACCGTGGACTCTCTGTGCCCGACACCGCCATTGCGCTTCTGCAGCGCCCCCTGAACGAGCAGGAGTTCAGACACCTCAGCATTCTGGGCTGGTTGACTGAGCTGCTGCAGGCGTTTTTCCTGGTCAGCGACGACATCATGGACGGCTCGATCACCCGCCGCGGCCAGCCCTGCTGGTACCGTCAGTCGGGAGTGGGCATGATCGCGATCAACGACGCCTTCCTGCTCGAGTCGGCCATCTACGTGACCCTCAAGAAGGAGTTCCGCTCGCACCCTGCGTACCTCGACCTGATCGAGCTCTTCCACGAGGTCACCTTCCAGACGGAGTTGGGGCAGCTGTGCGATCTGATCACCGCGCCGGAGGACAAGGTCAACCTGGACAACTTCTCCATGGACAAGTACACCTTCATCGTGAAGTACAAGACGGCGTACTACAGCTTCTACCTGCCCGTGGCCCTGGCGCTGCACTACCTGCAGCTAGCCACGCCGGGCAACCTGCGCCAGGCGCACGACATTCTGATCCCGTTGGGCGAGTACTTCCAGATCCAGGACGACTACCTGGACGCGTTCGGGTCGCCCGAGGTCATCGGCAAGATCGGCACGGACATCCAGGACAACAAGTGCTCGTGGCTGATCAACCAGGCGCTGCAGCGCGCCACGCCGGAGCAGCGCAAGCTCTTGGACGAGGCCTACGGCCGCAAGGACAGCGCGCTGGAAGCCAAGGTGAAGGCGCTGTACAACGAGTTGCAGCTGGAGCAGCTGTACAAGGACTTTGAGGAGAAGCGGGTTGCGGAGCTGCGCGCGCAGATCGCGGCCGTGGACGAGTCCGAGGGTCTGAAGAAGGAAGTCTTCGAGTCTTTCCTGGCGAAGATCTACAAGCGCAGCAAGTAATTACTTAAACAAGCCCAATCTGACCCTTTCGTCGAGAAGATGGCCTCGACGCCGTCTTCTTCTTCTGACTATTAATTACACTCATATATTTTTTGCGTTCTTCCTGTCGACGTCGGCCGATTTCATTAGTACTGTCATGCTGGCTGCTGTTCATATTCAATCGGCTGAGTTTATATGCTTTTTATTGCGTTTACTGGAAGAATACATGCTAGATAAGAACATACATACATATAAATGTCATTGGGATACATATATATACAAATAGATACCTTTTTTTTAAGATAAATATGAACATTAACGAAGGACAATCTCTTGTCCCCATTAGGAGTACTATCATGTATATATCTATTGAGAGGCCTTGTCTGGGTAGACAGAGCCTACATATGTACATACTCAGCCGTCTGTATGTAGTATTTACAACATCACCATAAACCCTTCAGCCCTAACATCCCAATTACGGGGGAATCCCGGAGCAGTCCCAGCACCAGCACCAAGCCCAACAGAAGAATCACCACCGCTACTGTTGCTGCTACTGCCATTCCACCCCCCAGCCATCATCGCCACAGCAAGCAACAACGCCCCCGCACCAGGGAAGTACGGCGTAGGCGCCGTATCCGCACTGCCGACAGGCATACCCACGTCATCGAAGGCGAAATTCTCGTCGACAAGGTACCCCACCGCGCGATCGATCTCGCCCAGCCGGACGGCGTTCATCGCCAGCATGGGGAAGTCCCAGCCCCAGCACTGCGAGAAATTCCATGCGCGCGCGATCTCGGCCGCTGTGGCGGCGACGATGGTCTCGTTGACCATGGCTGTTGGGGGTAGCAGGCCGTAGATGGCGCTCAGGGCGGGGTGGGACGTGACGGTTTCGGGATCGAGCCACATGTTTGGGATGCCTTCGTAGAGGGTGTATGTCGTAGAAGTCGTGTTAGTGTTCGTGTCTGTAACTGCGACTGTAGGCAGCGGCGCAAGATGCTCCGCGACCTGCTTCCAGCTCTGAGGCACAGGCTGACCCAGCCGCTCTTTCCACGCCATGGCGATGTCCAGCCCGAAACGCCAGTACGCGAGCTCAAAGGTAGGGTTGGTCGTGCTGTTCGGAGGCGTGTTCTCCGAGGCAGGGTACATGGGCGGACCAAGGTCGTAGACGCCTGTCGACTGGTTCCAGAAGGCGAACGAGGCCATGAAGTCTGCTGACGGGGTCAGGATGGGGTCCCATTTCTGCAGGATCGTCTTCTGTTGTTGTTGGCCACCGGAATTCGCTGCTGCAGCGTATTCCGTCTCCGCAAAGTAGAAGACGTGCGGCTGCTGCCAGATCAGCAGGGAATTAATCTCCCCCGGAGCGGAGCGGCCGGTGGGATCGCTCATCTTGCCCCATCGCGCGCCTGCGTACCCCTGATCCTGCGCGCGCTGGATGGAGGAAGGTAGGAACCGGTTGTAGACGCCGATGCTCCTCTCCAGCAAGGGGAGCTTCCCCCACGGGATCCAGTGCGCCGAATGCCAGAGGTACATCTCCATGTGGAATTTGCCGTACCAGCCGTTGTTGACGAGACCGGACTCCTGCGGCGGATCGTGCCCGGCTTCGTTGACGGCCAGGAGGTACTGCGACAGGATCGTTCGGCGCTGGATCTCGATGGCTGTTGCGTTCCCCGTCGCGGTGAGGTCGACGAAGGCCCCCGTCTCCCAGTAGTCTTGCCACCAGTGGACGCAGTTCTGGGCGACGGAGTCGACGCCGGATGGAGATGGGGGGTTTGAGGATGGAGAGAAGGTCGCTGTCAACTCGAAGGTCTGCTGGCTTGGAGGAGAAGAACCAGGCTGCAGGATGTAGCGATGGGTGCCATTCACCGGTGTGATAGAGGCCTCTCCGGACCAGTGGATGGCAGTGTAGTACGTGGTGTTGTCCAGGACATGCTTGATCTGCGCGCCGCCTTTCGGCAACGCAGACAGCTGCGTCTCGTGCCTGGAGACATTGTTCCAGTCGCCGACGAACGGTGCCTCGAATTTATTCTGGCCTGTCGCATACGGGTAATCGAAGAAGACTCCCAGCTGGCCCCGAGACAGCAGCTCAGAAGCGATCTTCACCGCAACCGTATCCGACAGCGGATCGACCCACGTCCAGACAGTGACAGCGGTGCCATTGATCCTGAAACGGGAGGTGATGGTTCCAGAATAGAGATCCAGCGTCTGACTCTTGTCCGTCAGATCCGACTCGGTCACATTATTTTGCCCCCCAAAGTGCAGTCCGATCCGGCCCAGATTGATGCGATGCGGATTCGCAATCAGCCACTGCGAGATGTCCGCCTCAGCGGGGTTTGGCTGGTCGTAATTGACGAGCCTGCCATGGGTCCACCAGTCCAGACCCGTGAAGTCGGCGGGCGACGTCTGCCCGGGCGTGGTGGGCAGCGAGTCATTGTGCCATCCCCAGGACGAGAGCGTCGCGAAGGGGAGGAAGGTCTGCAGCCCGGTGATGTCGGCGCCGAAGGCGAAATTGCCGTTTCCCACCTGCATGGGCGTGATGTTGGAGCTTGCGTGGCGGGTTGGGTTGAATCGCGAGACGACATCTTTGCGGTTGATCTTAGCTGCTGCTGTAGCTGTAGCTGTGCTCGTGCAGATGAGAAGCACATGTAGGAAGAGCAGGAATTGCAATGCCCAGCCTAGCTGGGCAGCGAGAAAAACGTCCATGGTATTATGTCCTTGAAGCACCTTTCGCTGCATTTCAGGAGGTTCAGCACTGTTACTCCATCGTGATGGCGATTGCGACAGGTTGGGATCAGTAACGGGGGAGCCATTTTTCTGTTTTTATAGCTCCTCCACTTGGAGAACTCTGGAGAAAGAAAACACAACTAGAAGAGCTCTAAAGAGAGAATTTCCACCAATGGTGTGAAGTGAGGATGCAGTAGCTGAGGGATCGAGATGTCTTCTGTGCGGGTATCAGTCGGGGAGGAGAGCTTAATCGCGGGGATTGCTCCGGGGAAGGAAGACGTCAAACAACCATCTGCACGGACTTCCTGCTGCATGGGAAATTTAGGCAAATATCAATCGAATATTAGCCGCATAACCTGGTCATAGATATTTTGGTATGGTTAAGTAATTTTTGGCCGTGACTTCTATCTCAATCCAGTCTATAAATACTCTGGGAATTATTGACTGCTTTACTCGTACTGTATACTGTAAAAGCCAAATACTGATAGAACTGCTCAAATGGAATTTCGCATTTTGATAGCTAGCCTAAGGAGTGACTATGCTATAGCGTCGAATACCGCCACAGCAGCTTATGAACGAGTGTGTGTGTGTCTTAAAATCAAAGAGACGGTTCTGGCTCACGCCTCAGTAGCAACCTGCAACCGCCGGAAGCCTCCCTCCTTCGCGACCTGCTTCTGCAGCTCCGCCATGCGCTTCTGGTCGCCCAGCGGGTCGGTCGACTCGGCGTCGAGCTGCCAGGTCAGGTACTCGTTGGTGTAGTTGGGGACGAAGCCCTCGTCCAGGATACCGAGACGCTTGCCGTAGTTGGTGACCTTGTCCCAGTCGCGGCGAACGTTCTTCAAGTCGCGGCTGAAGTAGGCGAAGGAGCGCTCGAAGATCTTGCGGTTGACAGACGTGCCCATGGCGGGCTTGACGTCGACGTACTCCTCGTACGCCTTCTGCGGCTCCGCGAGCACGTAGTCGGTCGCGCGCTTGACGGCGCGCAGGAACTTCTGCACTTTCTCGCGGTTCGCCGACAGGAAGCTGTCGTTGGCGATGTACAGGATCGAGCAGAAGCAGCAGCAGCCCAGCTCCGCGAGCTGGTCGATGCGCAGCATCTGCACGTCGTCGCGCGGCCGGTCCTGCGACGCCAGCCACTCCTCCAGCTCGACCATCTGCACGTTCTCGAGGCCGATGCCGGCGTCGATCTCGCCCCGGATGATCGCCTTGGTGACGTTCATGCCGCAGCGCACGGCCGTGTAGTCGTCGGCCGTCATGCCGTAGTACTTGGTGAGCTCGTCGATTTGAATCTACGGTTGTCAGCATTCCAGACAGATTTACAATATTGTTGTGATCGAGCGCAAACCTTGCCAAACTCTCCAACATAGCCGATCCGCTTGCCCTTGAGCGAGCGAAAGTCGGACGTAATGCCGCTGTCCTTGAGGTACACAACACCGGTGAACGGCTCGTCGAGAAGCGATCCGATCGAGGTAACGGGGAACTTGCGCGCTTTGGCCTGTCGATCGTCAGCCAGCGACACTCTCTCAACGTGAGCGCTGCACATACGGCCAGCGTGTGGATCATGGCCTTGAAGCCCATGTCGACCTTGCCGCTGCCAATGATTTCCGTCACATCGGAGGGGTCGTTCGGCTCGAGGATGGCGACTTTCAGGCCCTCGTCCTTGAAGTATCCCTTGGAATGAGCGAGGTAGAGGGGGGCATGGTACGGGGTGGCGTGCCTTGCAAAGACTCAGCCAGTGTCCTTTGGGGAGAGTAGAGGGAAGATGAAGATAAAAGATTGGGATTGTTTATGCTAGAAAAAGTGACAATCTGCAGGTGAGTACTACCAGTTGGTGAGAAAAGTGATCTTGTCAGTCGACATTTTCAGCGAATTTGTTCTTCAATTCCAGCAAGTGGAACAGCTCTGTAACCCAGTCAGCAAAACCAGACACAATGATCAGCTGTCCCTCCCTCTCTCTCTCGACATGAAGTTATGTATGGGAGAGAGATAGAGAGACAGCAAGAAAAGAGAGGGAGGGGGTCAAAGCCACGCATGTCCTTTCGCCAGTATTATCTGGATCAAGTTATGACAGTATAATCTCAGCCCGACCGGGAATTTCCCTGCAGACGCGATCGATAGAGACATGCTACAAACTCGACCAGAAGAGACAAATGTCACATGCCTGACATTCCCCTTCTTGACCGAACCTGCAACACTTCATTCATTCATTCACTCCATCTTCCAACAGAAGGGTGAATGACAATCACATCGAACAAGGAAACCCCAGATCGAGCACCTGTCATGCGTGAGCAATGACGGGATATACTCTACGATACCTTGACCCTTTGACGGGATTCATCTTGATTGTGATAGAAACCCAGACAACTTCCTGCTTTCAGACTTGCGCAGCTTTTTTTTTCTTTTTCCCCCTGTGTTTGGTCTCGAGCCGTACCGTTCGTTCGTTATCGTACGATAATATCGGAGTAGTCGTTGGTAAGGCAGAGAGGTAGAGTTCAGCGTGCAACTAGCTTATAATATCGAAGGAGGAAGACAAAGAACAACGCGATGTGTTGAGAAGAAGAAAGTAAAGAGAAAGCAAAGATGAAGGGGCAGAGATAATCAATAAATAATTGCACCACTGTAGTGAGTAATCATTTACCCCTCGTCAGGTCACGAAACACCGATAAGCGATACCGACGTAAAGCGGGGCACCAGGCTCAAGCTGCCGTTTACCCGAAATAAATAACAAGCTTTCTGCTTTGGTAATTGTCATTGGAATCATCTTGTTTTGTTGGCAAGTTTACGAAAATCGTCATCCGCATCTTGCCGATGTCGGTCGTCGTCGGTAAAGTCATCAGTCAGCGGACGAATATTACTAACTCGCAATTACACACAACCAAGTCAATACTTCGATTGGACACGTTTGTTTATGAAGCAGTCATAATAATATCTCTGTGGATGAACAAGACTGGGCGTCTGTCTTCAGTTGGACTGAATTCAGGTGGACTTCAGGATAAACCCGGGTGGATGTCGTCCTTCCCTGCTCACCGATGGCTCCGAATCTGCTTAGCAACAATAATTCTGTGGATCCAAGCCACACCACACCCGACTTTGTCAGAGTTCTCAGAGAGTTCTGACAGTGCTGTTGTCTACGTTTATAAGCAAGGAAGGGTGCATCGTTTGACTGTATCAATAATAAATTATTAGAATTATACAACATCAGAGATGATAGATAGATAGATAAATAGATAGTAAACATGGATAGTCGAATACACAGGGTATGAAGCAGAATCGACAGTCTCGCAACTACAAGTACAGAGAGTACATGCGCATGTACCCGTCGAAGAACACGTATTTGCTATACCTGCTCGCCTGATCAGATACCTCAAACCTAATTCAACGAGGTATTTAGTCGAGTGGTCCGGACCAGCACGGCGACAGGAAACGTCGCAAAACACAACCTAATTCCCGTTCAAAGATATCATATCCAGCGGCGACGGCGGCCGATCCCCCGCTTTCTTCGTCCGCAAGGTGAGCGGATAGGGGTATTCATCTGGTTCTTCTTCCTCCCTATGCAATCATTAATATGTGCACTTAACACGTACACTGCTTTTTGGTACGGCTGGACTTACGGCAACCTCCAGGCAATATAGTCCTCCGTGCTCAGCCCCTCGCGGCCCTCCTGCAACGAAGCAAAGTCGCCAGGAGTCATCATGCCACTGCGATCGCGTGGAGAGCCCGGGATCGAAAGCGGACGTGCAATCTTCTGCGCAGTGCCTCCAATGATATCATTGAAATCCTCCGCAGGGTCGAATGACGTCGGATACGCTGGTAAGAGACATTAGCATAGGGAGGAAAAAAAAAAGTACAGTACAATTGATTGACCGAGGATCTGCATACCTCGTCTCAGTGCGAGCTGTCGAGCCTTGACATATTCCAGGCCCATCCGTTTCCAGTCCAGAAGGTCGCTCAGCCTCTCCGTTCGATTCCGCTGGTTGATGCGCTGCCGCCGGCTCTTTATCGCAAAGTCGAACATGAAGTCGGTGAGCTGGTTGACGGAATCATCCACGCCCTTTAACCGGCGGTCCACGATGTAGATTCCGTAGTCGGACGAATTCTCAATCAGATCTTCCATGTAGCAGCCAAACCCGGAGAGGTTCGTCGTGATGCTGGGGACCCCCATCACGGTGCACTCGGCCGGAGTATAGCCCCATGGCTCGTAGTAGGATGGGAATACCCCCAGGTGCGTCCCACGGACAAAGTCTTCGTAGTCGAGCGGCAACACCGGGTTGGCTGAATTGAGGAATTCAGGGTGGAAGACGATTTTGACTCGATCCGACGGGTGGTTGAAAAGCTGGACCCGACGCAACTGGTTCAGAATGGGGTCGTCCGCGTCATTGACCATGTTATGGGTGACGATGGGAGGCAGATTGTGTCGCTTAAGCGCAAAGAGACGGCGACGGAGCAAGACACGGTCTTGGTTGGTGATGAGGTCTTTCTCGTCGGGCATGTTGTCTCCCTCCTTCCAGGCCAGGCATCGTTCAAAGAGCCGTCTGCCAATGTTCTTCTCCACCTTCTCCAAGGTTTCCCGGAGCGACTTGACGACCGCTTGGCCTTTCAGGGCCTCCACGGTGAGCGATGAGGTTTGCGCGGGCATGATGATGAAGGCCACCACGGTGGTCTTGGATCCGCTGGTCTTTAAGCGGTGATTGAGTCGGGCCAGCGACTCGATGAACATGTCGACCCCCTTATTGCGGTATTCGTACCGGCCGGCGGTGAAGAAATACAGCGTATTGTTCAGATCAAAATCCAGATGGCCATAGAAATGGCCCCGGACAAAGTCATGGATCTTCTCCTTGGCCTGGGAATGGAGATTCTGGAATTCGTGCATGGCGGAGAACTTCTTCACGTTCAAACCGTTGGGCAACACACCGTCTGGCTTTCGTTTCAGCAGATGCTCACTCTCAAAGGCCGTAATATGCGATACGGTAGTGAAGACATCGGCCGAGTGGGCAGCAGCCCGTTCGATGCAGTAACGGTGGTAGATGCCGCGTTTGCCCGCCTCGGCGTCGACATCGAAGTACTGGAGATTGTTGTAGAAATCCACTGACCCGGCACATAGATAGCGGCCCAGCAAGGTGGCATGGGTGGTGAAGATGGTTGTCAGGTCCATATGACGCTTCTTCGTCAAGGGCAGCGCAACGCCTGCCAGCCACTCATGGAAATGGGCCACCACGGCCCGTTTCGTGTCGTAGGAGATATACTGCAACCGCTCCGTTAGGCCATATACGAGACGTCAGGGCTGTACACACCTCTCCCAGAAACCAGGCCACCAGATACCCAAACACAATGGCCTCATTGGTTTCGTGGTCGTTCGCGGGAGATGGAATGCCCGCGACGTTCCACAAATCGCCCTTCCACTCATCCAGGTAGCGATACCCTGTTCCGGTATCTATGAGGAGCACTCGAGGAGCCCCTTCGATCAGCCAGCGTCCGTATATCAGGTCAATGCCGCGTTCCTTCATCGACGCGATGGTGTCGACCAGATGCGGATTGGTCGGGGTCAGGGTTTCCACCTCGACGGCAGCCTGCCACAACGATCAGTCTCTCCGTGAACACTAGGGCAAATGACGTACTGAGGCGCGGTTGAGAGGCCCAATGAGTGTGTATCGCTCACCATATTCGACGGTCGTGACGGGGGCTTTGGACTTGAGGACGGAGTAGATACCTCCCACTGCACGCGTAGAATTAGCATGTCCTCTTCTGACTCCGAATCGCATTGATCAGAGGAAGAATCGAACCTCGATTTGCAACTTCTGTAGCTACCTCGAACAGGACATGGTTTCTCGTGTCGCGCTTGGGCGGATCGGAGCCATTCGCATTGGCCATGGAGAAGTGACAAGCGCAGAATAACAGGAATTTGGCTATGAACAAAAGAGTCGAGCGAGTGTAAGAAAAGGACAATAGAAGTTGAAGAAAAGAAAGTAAAAGAGAGCCCTCTCAGAATGCGGTGGAGGGCGTGTCTCACGCTGGGATTGCTACCCCGGGACTGGATTGCGGGGAGAGTTGGCAGGTCCACTCGACCCGTTGGAACTTGGCCCGTCGACAATTTGACAATGAAGTCTATTGAACACTGAAGCTGGCTGCGCGTGCAGTCACGCTGGGGTTGCAGTTGGGGGCAGATGTCGCCTTGCTGTTCTCCTCAGGACGATGGAAACCAAGGGAAATCGATCGACAACAAGCACATGCTGGGGAGAAAATGACTGGTTACGCGAAGGTCAACAGGGCGTCGAGGGGGCTGGAAACCTGGTTTATATAGCTCGAAAGTATTGTACAGGGGTCTTCCCATTGATCGTTCGCTTTATATATTAATTACATCCTGTGACCAGCTGGGATTTCCTTGACAACGTGGAATGAAGCCCTGCGGAGCTATCTTTAATCCAAGGACAGGAACGGCATCGTCATCAATGAATGCTCCATAGTTACACAAAGCTTTCCTTGTCGTCTATTCTTATGATTACTGACATTCTGGCTGAGAGAAGCCCGGAATAAGGCGTCAATATGTGCGAATAAAGAAAAAGATGGCATGCTCGCAGTCGCCAGGGCTCGCTAGTCAGCATACGTCATACCATGTGACTGCTCTGGCTGTTTGCTTGCTGTGCTGGTCGTTTGCAGACAAAAAAAAAACAAGGATAATAAATGATTAGCTGCATTTGCGATTGCCAATTGGATCTAGCTCGCAGTGCACGGCAGCTCGTGTCAGCAAGCTCGAGGATTGACTTCTCTGTCTGGTATTGCTCGATGGTTCCCCGCACCCCGCGGAGATCAGTTCTAGCAGGATGCACGACCATCTCATGCTCATCACACTGCAATTAAATTCGATTCTCGCACCCTTGCCTGGTTGAACTACCCCACCTAGCATCACTCTCACCATCGTGAAGATGATCGTGAGCTCTTACCATTGTCAGTATTCTGGTGCAGACAATCCAACGAGAACAGTCGTCCCAGTTACATAAGCTGGATGGGAGGCGGAATACCAACTGAATGCCTATCAATGACACAACAGAGTCAATTCGAGTTCCCTACGACACAATCCTGATCAGTCCATAAACACGTATTGTAATGGACAGGAAACGCCTAGCAGGGCAGTCACAGTTGAACTCTCGCTTGCCTTATCTCTCTGTCTCTCCGGCAATAAGCATTATCTCCGGCTTATTCGATCAACGAGCGTTCCTGACTAATTACCAGGCGATGACATGTTGCTTACATAGTCGTCTGTTGTATAGAGGCACTGATAATCACAGCTGAGCAGAATGGCTTGGTTTCCTGTCTGTGTGCCTGCAGTTTTAAGACGATGCCCATCTGCATCAGTGGGAGGCCATTACGTCTGCTCCTCTGTGAGCTCCTTGGCTGCAACGCCTGAGATATCGATTCCCAGAATCAAGAGCAAGATCACCCAGAGACACTTCTACTAGACATCAAGAGCACCGAATTCCAGTGTCAATACCAAGACTGATACTATGGCAACGATGAACGCCGTCGTGATCCACAACCCCGGCGGCCCCGAGGTCCTGGAGCTCGAAAAACGAGACATCCCCAAACCAGACCGCGGCCAGGTCCTCATCCGCGTCAAGGCCTTTGGGCTCAACCGCTCCGAGATGTTCACCCGCCAGGGCCACTCCCCCGCTGTGCAGTTCCCCCGCATCCTGGGCATCGAGGCGACAGGGATTGTCGAGTCCGCGCCGGGCGGAGAGTTCCAACAGGGCGAGATCGTCATGACCTGCATGGGCGGCATGGGACGCATGTTCGACGGCGGGTATGCCGAGTATACCTGCGTGCCCGCGAACCAGGTGCAGGCGTTGAAGACCCCGACCCGTCTATCCTGGGATGTGCTGGGCGCGCTCCCAGAGATGCTGCAGACGGCGTGGGGTTCGCTGTTCAAGGCGCTCGCCCTCCAAAAAGGTGACAGACTCCTGATCCGCGGAGGGACGACCTCTGTCGGACTGGCTGCCCTGGTCATCGCCAAAAACCATGGGGCATTGGTCGCGGCGACAAGTCGTCGGCCACAGCGAGAGGCGATGCTCCGTGAATACGGGGCAGACCTGTTCTTCGTTGACGACGGCGAGATTGCGGCACAGATCGAGCAGAAACAGGTCGAAAAATTCGACAAGGTGCTCGAGCTGGTCGGGACTGTGACCCTGAAAGACTCCCTGCGCTGCGTCGGAGGCGGCCGCGGTGGCATCGTCTGCATGACAGGCATCGTGGGCAACTCCTGGGTCATCAACGAGTTCAGTCCGATGGAATATATCCCGGCCGCGACCCGGCTGACCACATACACCGGAGGGGTGGCCGAGTTCATGGCCACGCCAATGGAGTCGCTGGTGCGGCAGATCGAGGCCGGTCAGCTCAGGATCAAGGTGGGCAAGGTCTTTCGGATGGACCAGATTGTCGAGGCGCATCGATGCATGGACGAGGGTACGGCCGAGGGGAAGATAGTCGTCTTGACTGAGTAGTTTATGTCAGGGCCATGAAATGGTCCACATGCATACAGCTCAAAATCCGATTCATTAGGTGTGATGTCTCTCCTTCAATCCAATTATATCTTCAGAGTATATATGCACCGTCTGGTATAGATAACTGGATGCTAAAAGCAGTAAACCGATCATCACTCGTTAACAAAGGTTTTAGATCAGAAATTTATCAGCCATCGATTGGAGTCCTATGACGATGGGGACGAAGTGACAGAAAATATCAGACCAACCGTTCAGTCAGCGTCGAAAACAAACTCCAGAATAGACATGACACTCCCTTCTGGCTTCGAAACACGACGCAGTTTCAACCGGGGATCCGCATCTGAACAAAGCTTGACCCAGTCAGCCAGCGGTCGCTCTCGTGCATTAAAAGTCGTCATCATCTCGAGGTCCATGATCCTGCAGAGGAGTCAGCATTCTTCCTGTATGGTCCTTTCTATTGCGAATAAATGTGGGAATCTTGTTTTCTCTCACCTTGCAATCCTTTCTTCAACCCTAGGAAGCGTATTGGGCTCGGGAAGGACGCCGTCGTTGATGATAATGCGAGAACCTTTCCTCAACGCCGGAACCAGGTTTTTCACGATCTGCGTTGCAACCGCGTCCGGATGGTCGTGCAGGATGAATCGCAGCAGGTAGACGTCACCGACCACTGGTTGCGGCGTGAAGAAGTCGTGTTCTTGGAACGTGAAGCGGGATTTCAGGCCTTCTGGAAGTGATTTCTTGCCCTGTTCAACCACTGTCGCGAGGTCCTGGATGACGAACGTCGCATCTCGAGCTTTTTCTGCAATGGCGATAGAGGCGTGTCCGGTTGAGCCGCCGACCTAGATAAGCCCAGGTGATGTGAGCGTGCTAACTTGATTCATGGCAGAATCGAAGTTCATTTCTCATTCTGTCATGGACAGATATCGAGTCCAAATCCAAAATCATGAGTCACGAAGGCTGAACGTACATCTACGACAGTCGCCTTTCCAAGCTCCTCCCACGGGTATCCGTTCACCAGGTGGTGAGTGCCATACCCCTCAGTCGAAGTCATCTCGACCATCGTGTTCGCAAACCGTCTCTCGCGCTCCGGGAACTTTGTGAGATGGACAAACATCGGCTCATCGGTGTCAAAGGCGATGTTGTATGCGGACTCATTAGGCTTCTGACTCGTGCCGAATTTCTCGTATGCCTCGACAAGCTTCGCGGACGCCGGGTAGGTCTCCTCGGTCGTGTATCCGACCCAGTCGTTCAACGCTGGGGAACGGACCAGCAAGGCCGATGCAGCGGTGTGGGCGACGAGGCCTGGCTCAGGTTCGCAGAACAGCCGGTTGGTCATGGCGTGCCGGAGGATGCGTTTCAAGCGATCCTCATCGACGCCCGCCGTGGCCGCAACCTCTGAGAAAGGGACTGCGCGATCAAGTGGCACGGAGGCAGCGATGTTGAAGTGGTAGATCCAGCGGAGGCTGGACATGTCATGGTACTGAGATGGTCAAATCATATCAACCAGATGATCAGAACAAGGCGAGTATACCCTACAGGCGAGCCACCGCAGATGCTCTGCGGGGCTGAACATCAAATCGAAGATGGCCTGGGAAGCGTCCAGGAGCTGGCGACGGGCGTTCACTACCTCTGCTGGCGCAGAGGGAAACGTCGGAGGCCCATCGACGTCGAACGAGGGCTGCGGATGGCCATTCGATACGAGAAAGTCGTTGACCACTTTGGCAGCGCTGGAGATCTGCGCTGCGAGGTCAAGAAGCGTGTTAGTCATTGTATACAATACGATATACAATATACTACCTGGACGAAAGCGGGTAAGCAGACCAGGCTATCGACTACGAGGCGTCAAGAAACTCCAGGTGGGTTGTACGGAGTATACAGAGTGGCAGGAGGGGCACAAAGACATTCGACATGCGGACTAGCGACATTAGTGATAGACGAACAGGCGGGGTCGAGCCTAGCCATGCCTTGCAGGCGTTGATGCAGCGAGGGCGCCCGTGGACATTGCCTCGGACCCACGGCGTGCAGAACTAACGTTACTAACGGCGCCGGTCGAGCAGCCGCGCCACTCGTCTTGCGCGTCCAACGTCCCATCTTTGCGCCTGGCACCAGCGATGGCGAATCGTCGAACTCTAACCTCCACATTCGTCAGCTCTGAACTCCTGGAAGCTCGCCTCAAGGTCGTGGAAATGGATCGGGCCGTCCCCTACCGTGAAGACTGTTAAGCGACGTGCCTGTTGAGGCCCACGACGTCGCCTCCAACTCCATCTGCCAGCACGCAGCAGTCGCAGGACAGCCATGACGAACGACGAGCAAGCGCACGAGACTCTGGTTCCAGTCGATCAGAATGTAGGGTTATATCTCCTGCCTCTAACTGATCACCTTGGCTGATGATAAGGGACTGTGCAGCTCCCTGAAGAAGAGGATGACGAGGCGTATGGGTCTGAGCTGTATGTTTCCTCGCGCTAGTCAATGATATCATGGATATGGTGGATAAAGGACTGAGCATCCGCAGACAGAGCTATGCCACCTCGCTGAGCTCGAGCGTGACCAACTACCAGTGGCAGCATGGCCGGCGCTTTCACAGCTACAAGGAGGGAAGTAAGTCAATCAGCCAGGCGAAATAGTCGCCTTTGCGCATGCGATGCTCACGGGGTTGACTGAATGATGTCAGGCTACAAGTTCCCCAACGACGAGCAGGAGCAGGACCGTCTGGACATGTTCCACCATATCTTCAAGCTCGCGCTCGGCGGCAAGTTGTTTCTCGCTCCGATTCAGCGGGAGGGGCCGTTGCGCATCTTGGATATTGGGACGGGGACGGGCATTTGGGCGATTGAAATGGGTAAGCTTAAGCTGTCTTTTGGGGAGCATTCTTTTTTGCCGCATCATTATCATTTAGAGAAAACGAATTGACTGATTTCATGTAGCGGATGAATTCCCTTCCGCGGAATTGGTGAGTTTCCCTGTCTCTCCATTTTATGCCATAGCTGACGTCTCAGGTTCTGGGCAACGATCTCAGCCCGATTCAGCCGCAGTGGTTCGTCTTGCACAGAGCATCTTGTATCCGACAGCAACTAAGCTAGTCACAGGGTCCCTCCAAACGTAGTGTTTGAAGTCGACGACGTCGAGGCCGAATGGCCCGACCGAAAACCATTCGATTTCATCCATTCCCGGTACATGTGCGGCTCCATCCAAGACTGGCCAAGGCTGTTCCAGCAGGCTTACAAGTGCGTCTCCATCCCAAGGACCAGAGCAGGACAGAGTAATACTAACCCTTTGGGACCAGACAAACCAAAATCGGAGGCTGGGTCGAGTTCCAGGACTTTCACCTGGTCAACTACTCTGAAGACGGCTCGTTGAAGGAAGGAAACAACGTCAACCGCATGTACGAGTTGCTTCGTGAAGCCTGCGACCGGGTCAACCGGCCTATCACGATAGGGGTGCATCTGAAGCGATGGGCAGAAGAAGCGGGCTTCAAGAACGTCCATCACAAAGTCATCCCCCTTCCGCTGGGGACGTGGCCGAAGGATCCGAAGATGGTTTGCCTTGCTTTCTCACCCACTGGCTGTTATTGTTCTCAGACTGATATTATTCCTGCAGAAAGAAATTGGCGCGCTCAACATGCTCCAATTCCTCGAGGGCCTGGAAGCCTTCAGCGTGTCGACATTCACCAACGTCCTTGGCTGGAGCATTGAAGAGGTGCAAGTCTTCCTGGCACTGGTCAGGAAAGACGCAAAGGATCGGAGTGTCCATATGATGCACAATCTGTGAGTGCCGCCGTCGACGTATACGAATAATTACTGACAAGTTTAGCCATGTTGTCTACGGCCAGAGGCTGGACTAGCCTATCTACTCCGTACATACGTAGTACGTACGTGGGTAGGTACGTATATGTTATGATTTACGAGTAATGAAGGGTAGCATCGTGCTTTTTATGCTAGCTTGGATTGTATATGGATGGTACATTCATGTCATGAGACGATTTATGCTTGAAATGAAATTGTTATGATCGATTAGTAAATCCAGAGTATATTTCGTGTCCGAATGCTCTACTTATCCCATATCATCCAAGTGACCCCCATTACCGAACGTGGTTAACCTACCTACCTACATCATCAAACCTCGATATGCCATAGAAGTGGTATGAGCCCACGTACCTACCTACCTAGGTATCTATGAGGAGATGCGGATTCGTTCACGAGACCTGCTGCTCTGTCTCACCCTCTATCCTCACCATGTCCTCACCCGTGTCCTCACCGTGTCCTCCCTCTTAATGCGGCCTTATTACTAGTCACCTAATTAATTAACCCTGTCGTTTCCAAACTTGTATTTTTTTTGTAACATGGTCAAGTTTACACAATGATTGATAGGTAATATATTACTCAACGATCCTGAAGTTCGTTTGTTGAGCCTGGGGAATTGTTTCCCTTCAGCAATATGAATTTCTACCAAGTTAACTGCCTCATGAAAAGAAAACAAAATATCGCCTTAATTAAGGGTACCTCCTTGAACTAACACAGAAAGATTTCACCATAAACGAGGATGAGTCGATAGGCTGTCCTGCGTTAGCTTGCCCTTCGAGTACTCCTGATATTCCAATGAAATAACTAGATTTGGTTGTTGTTCAGCATGTGTATATATAGATATGAAAAAGAGGGGGTGGGGGGGATATACGTTCGACGAGTCGCTCGATCAAAAAAGACATGTTCTGTTTCAGGGTCGCCAGCTTCGAAGCCTCGGAGACGCATTTCCCTTGTACATACAATGAGATGGGACTCGTATTAGCGGGACCTCGTAATACAACAATATATTTATATCAAGAAGGAGGGTGGTGCTAAACTCACTCAAAAATCTCAGCAAGCTGCCTCTCCACAAGCACCGCTTCAGCCGGACTCAGTATCATCTCCGTAATCGGCGACGCAGGAACCCTCGACATAACCAACGCATGCAAGTATCCTCCAGGATACTTATCGTAATTGCCCTGGACCAGCTCCTCGTGTCCGTAGTAGACCGGCACTTGCGACATCTGACATGCCCGTAGACAGTGAACTTCGTTCCGAAAGTCTTTTTTTTCCACTGTAAACTATGGCGGCGGTGTCTGCGGGATCGTCGTTGGGTTGAGGCGGTCTTCTGTTTTTATTTTTTTTAATAGGGATAACAGATAGAGAATGAGATTGTCTTATTCTTACTGGTAACGAAGCTTGAGAATCACGGGTCTTGCGTCCCGTTGTCTTAGGCCTGAGTAGACCTCTGTGCGGTCGTCTATCTCGTAAGTGACTCGCTCTGATATGAGCGTTTTGAGCTCATAATTTTCATTCTGGATGGTGATGACTCTGGATTGGCTCATTCTGGACGACTCGAATGGAATGGACAGATAAAGGGTCTGCGCTTACAGAGTTGGGCTCTGGCGAGTGCAGACGTGCAGGGATGAGGTAGGAGGGAAAGGGGAGGTAATGGAAGAGTGTGAGTGAAAAGAATCGAGAATAAAGTACCTAGGTAGGTAGCATGTCATCGAAGCAAGCATCCAGCAGAGAGAGGGCACGCTAATGCAACCTTGGAAGTGTGTGCACATTGTTGCCTACTGTTGTCCTCCTGCCTGGAAGGCTGCATACTTGATACGGGTGGGAAAAGACTAACGATTAGAACTCGTCTGAGGATTGAAACCCACAATATAGACAATAGCTCAGATTACCAGTATCTCGCCACTTCACCCAGATTAGCTTAACCAGAGGTTCTTTTGGAGGATAAGAATTAGCATGCTGGCATGTTGATGCTTCCGGAGTAGACTGACAGCTGCCAATTCTGGAATCATATTAGCTTCGCAAATGGCTAATCCATGTGCATAATATAATTGTGGCGCGTGTGAAACTGCAGACGACCTACTTTCACTCGAAATCTCAGTAGCTGTTCGTACGTGGCTTCTACCCTACTCGACCTACGATGTACTGTGATTATTCGTAACTGACCGGCCATAATGAAATTAGGGATAGGGCTCTCTACATGAGCTAGTATAAGCTAAATAACCAAAAATAAAAGTAAGGAGGAAGGCTATAAATATCTAAAGCAATGCTCTAGAAGGTTAAAAACGACCTCTATTAATATTATGTGATCTGGTTGGTGTCAAAGACCACGCATTTTGGCGGCGATTTACCAGGTAGATAACTTCTAGTTTGCCAGTCTAATTCCTTACCCTTTTGAATGTATTTTATTTGTGACCTGCCTTATTCCGATTCTCTTATTTTATTGTGTTTGCTCTCTCTCTCTATTGCTTTGTCTATATTTCTGCTGTCTAACACGGTTTATAGAGCCCTGTAGGGTCAACTTATGTCTCTTAGTGGTATATACATTTAGTAGGTATTGCCCTAATAATTTTTCGTTTAATATTAGACCAAATATCAGTCTCCTTGAACCAGTTATAAGTACGTTATAGTTAATATGAACCAAATCCACCAAAGATAGTGCCATTTTTGATTTACATGGGTTAGATAGAAGATATTTTTAACCTGGTATTAAAACACCCTGGGGGGCCAGGCCATGTCCATTCACCGGCACCTCAATCACCCTCCATAAGACTTTCATGTCATATCACTCTTAAGGCCGAATTCACTGACACGGGATCAGGACTCGACCTAGTGACGCAAATTTCGAATCGGGATAGCTCGCTTACCATACAGGTAAATTCTCCCCTATGCCTTATTGCTTACACGCTACCCTTTTTCCTCTTTCCCACCTTTGGACAGCTGTCCCATCACCCGAGCTTGTTCTCTGGGGCTTCGGGAGGAAAAGAGAGAGACCTTCCTCCTGAAAACTGCGAGAAACCTCCGCAATGGTCCAACATTTTAGGATCTCAAACCCGTGTTCACATCGCCAACGAACCAGTCTTCATGAGACCGAGTACGAAGAAACCCTATTACGATTTCGTCGATTCCGCAGACCGAATAGTTAATTAAGTCGACATTCGATGGGACCTCAAAGCCCTAGATCTATCTCGTCCGCACGCGGCGAGCGCTTTACGATTCGCAGCTGCAGGAGCTTTCCGAAAGATCAAGATGAAACAATGAAGAATCACTATGAACTTGTCCAGAATGAGTTCAACCGAGGAAACACCTCAATTTTTTTTTCTTTTTAGCCCTGGTTTTCCTAAGGCCACATCGATCAAGCTCGTCGTCAAGTTGCTCTAGATAATCAAGTCGAGGAACAAAAATGCCTTTTTCATTGATTTGGTTTATCGGAAGACCTGTTACTTTTACTTTGATTTCCGACAACAACGAACAGATATTTTCACAGAATCATTATATTATACTGCCCCCGAAGAGGTCGCCAAACTATGGATGCTCTTAAGCGTACTACGGGTTGACCACAATGCGAAACGCCCCCAAACAAATACTGGAAGATCCCATGGTTCGAATCCTGCCTACAGTACCTGTTAATTAGTTTTTGCTATTAGCTCACATGACTCACATAGACATGGCATGGTTTGCTGTATTCTATAAGAGCATTCAGGCCCCCTCCGACCCGACAGCTGTCGACAAACTCAGGATAGGATGGTGCAGGTGCTGATCTGTAAGACATCAACATCATGCAATTTGATACGGGTAACATACGGGTGAAAAGCGGTCCGTCGATCTATCTGCTCGACGAAATGAAGTCTTTTTTTTTTGCACGATAATGTCAACCTGGAAGCTATCATTCATACTAGGGGTTCACTAGATAACCTAGGTTTTTCTTTTGTGCCCCAGTTTGTTTGACATAATTATTATCGGTCGGATTTAAATGAACACAGTAAGTTAGTTGTCTGTGGAGAGTCAATTAATTCCTATGCTATTGAACATATGTTGGATCTGACATTTTTTTTTCTGTTTGTTAGAAAAACTGAAAGCTACATGAACTCTAAAGTTGATTTTCTTCATCTACTCTATACATACATACATACACCCTCTCTATAATAATGCTTTTGGGAGTGCAAGCAGCTAATATAATATACGGCTTCGCTGGGCTTTACATATAAGGACTTTGGAAAAAAAATGTATTTTCCCTCCTTTACCATGTCAAAACAGAGAGAAATTTCACCACTATAAGAGGGTGAAGGGGGTTGCAGCCGAGGATTCTTACTAAGTTATGCTCAACGTAGTCTCGACGTCATCTCATCTGATGACATCCATTCCGTTGGAAAAAGTAATTTAATTATCCAACGACATAAATAAATC